GCTTTCCATCTCTTTAACTGCATCTTTTGGCTGAAGAAGTCCTGGGATGATTGAGGCATCTTCCTCCCATCCAGGCACTGTTGGTGGAGCTGGAGTGCTCGGCCAGGGAAGCTGGTCTGCACTGGTCCTTTACAGACCTGTTTGAAATCAGTAAAAGCAAGGTTTCCTTGGTGCCTTCAGGTTTCCTTGGCTGGAGGGAGCAGAATTTTCCAGAGTTTTCTGGAGTAAAACCTGTGTAGGATGTAACTGCTCCTCTAGGGACTGAGGTTGGATCTCTTATTTAGCATTAAACATCTGGGGCTCCTCCTTTAAGGAATTTCTATGGTTTTTTGGCTTCCAGGGAATGATTTAAATCCCGTTCTTTGATTTACTTGTTACCATCCATGGTGGGATGGGTGTGAGTGTTCCCTGCTCCTGATTCCCTCCCCTTCAGGAAGAACCATGGAAGGCCCAGCAGAGGCAAACACAAAGGAGTTTTCCTCATCCTTAAAAGGGGAAAATGGGAAAAGGAACTGAATGTGCTGGATCCTGGAAATGGAAAGGCTCTTGGACACTCTGCTTTTGAGAAAGGCTGGAGAGCGAGTCAGGAAGCAATAGGCACTTCCAGAAGCATTCCCAGTGCTGTACCTGTGCAAGTATTCCAGCCTTCTAGGAGAGGTGAGGGAAGGACACTGGGATGTAACGTAGCAGATCCATAAGAAGCTGCCAAGGTAATAACGTGGGATCTTCTCAGCCGGAGCCGGAGAGGAGGGAGCACAGCCGGCATTCCCGCTCCTGGAGACATTTGAGCCTCGTGAACTCGAGCACCAGACGTTCCCAGTAGGATGTGTCTGCCCAAGATCAGCCTCCTGCCCGGGAAGCTGCCGGCTGGGACGGATTGTTTCCCTGCGGAGCTGCCCGGGATGCTCCTGGCAGAGATTCCGGCTGTCTCTGCCTGGTGGCGGGAACGGGACGCACCGGGTGTGCGTCCAGGAGAAGGGATGATGGATCTGCTTCCCTCAGATCTCTGTGTCTTGGCTTCTGCTGGAAACCACAACGATTTCCCCCCTCCTGATCTCCCAGCGCAGCTGATTAATCCTGACTGGCCTCCGGTGCTCCAGGAGAAATCCCAAACACGCCGTGCCAGAGCCAAGGGAGCGAGTCCTGAAACTGGAGCTGCAGCCTGAGACTTCAGTAAACAGGATGGGGAGAACATGAGGCACAGAGTCCAGCCAGCACTGAGATCCCTCTGGAATAACCCAACCCAGAGTTATCCCAGAAATCCAGTGCCATCCGTGCTTTGCTTCCACCCACAGCTGATGATTTTTCGGGGTGTTTGTTCTTGGCGAGTTCTTTCTCCATCATCAGCCACGATCTTACTTCATTTTACGGACCCTGAGCTCCAGATGAGTTTAAATACCTGACTTAACCCTCCCAAACTGTAGAATTCGAAGCAGGGGGCAGATGATTTGCCTTAAAACAAGGAATTTGTGCCTGGCTCCTGATGGAAGAGTGAGGGGGGGTGCAGGAAGGACCTCCGTGCTTGGCTACTCCTTTAACGGATGAAGGAGTGGTTGTGGAGGTCTCCATGAAATTCATTCTTCCCAGGAAATGGGATTTGGTGTCAGCCCCCCACAGTTGCTGGAGCCGTTCTACTTGTGTTGTAAGGACTAAAGGGAGCAGTTTGAGCTGCACTTCCCTGAAAAAGAGGTTTCTTTGTGCAGTGGGAGGTGACAGAGCCCTCACTGAGAAGGTGTCAGTCCCCATTCCAGGTAGACACGCTGGAGGACCGGAGACAATTGAGGGAATGTGAGGGCAAAATCCACTGGAGCGCTGACAGATGAATACCTGGAAATGCTCTGCGTGCCCCTTCTTGCCTTTATTAATATTCATATATGGCAAAGGAGCAGCAGCAGCACTGACTGCAGGTACAGTTGAACATTTGTGCAGTTTTCCTGAACAGTGGGAGCAGTGACATTAAACATATGCAGGAATCCCCATAGTTATAAATATTTACAAATATTGATTTTGGCAAGAGCACCTAATTCAGATGTTGTGAGCTCCCTAATGCAGTGCTTGTGTCTGTCACCGTGTGCTCCTCAGGCTGAGTCTGTGATCCGGGGGGTTCCCTCAGGGTGTCACTTGGGAATGGAATTTAAATATTTGTGCAGCAGAGTTGGGGAATAAGCCCAGCACTGTGTGATGAGCACGGGGGTGGCAGTGGTCACTGCCTGCTCAGATTTGCCCCAGTTGCCTTCACTCAATCAGAAACAGATGTTTTCCTGAACTTTCAGTGCATGGGACTGCTTTTTGTATCACAGAATATCCTGAGCTGGAAGGACCCACAGGGACCATCGAGTCCAACTCCTGGCCCTGCACAGACACCCCAGCAGTCCCACCCTGTGCCTGAGGGTGATGTCCAGACCCTCCTGGAGCTCTGGCACCACTGCCCTGGGGAGCCTGTTCAGTGCCCCAGCACCCTCTGGGGGAAGAACCTTTCCCTGAGATCCAGTCTAGATACATCAGAGCTCCTGAGAACTGTGGAGAAACGTTCCTGCCCTGAGAAGACACCTGGGTGGGTTCTCTTTGCTCATTTTCCCAGACACCAACAGTGATTTCCTTTCCTTTTCCGTGGAGACATCGCTTCGTTCTTTTATTTTGATTTTTTTTCCCCCCAGCTTGGAAACGAGCAGGGAAAAAAACAACTCTCCTAAGAACAGGCTTTGTGAGAACCAGGGTCAAAATGAGCGGGAACAATACATCCCTAATGAAACTTCCCTGAAGCATCCAGCTCCAAATTGGGCTCTTCAGTGGCGGGTGGCTGCAGATGTCGGTGAGAGCACAGCTCCTCCTAAAGCAGCCTAATGTATGTAAACCATCGCGGCAAGCAGGGCCCGCACAGCCAAGGAGACTGCAGATGGAGAGAAAAGGCTCCTGATTTCGGGAAAATAACAAAACCTGTTTTACCATATTGTGCATTAAATATTGTTCATTTGCATACTTTCCGTGGCGAGGTTCTGAGAGCCCACCATGTGGTGGACTTGTTGGGAGTCGGGAAAGATCCTCTTTTTCCAAATGGAGATGTGTTAGTAGAAGCTGCTGCTTAATTAGAAAACAAAAATAACTAGGTTTTGGTGTTGGTTTTTTTTTTTCAATTCTCTATTTTTTCCCCCCTTCCTTTTGTTGGTTTTTATTGCCTGGATTTTCGACTGTTTGCTTGAAATTCCGTAGGATGGGGAAGGGAAGCATAGGTGCAGTCACTGCAAAGAACTGCATCCTGGTGTTTTACAACAGTCTGCCTGCTTGGAACGGGCACAGCAGGGATTCCTCCATGGAAAATTTCCAGCAGATAGCCAGGCAGATTGGAAATACCTCTTAGATGATTTTTTTTTGCATCTTTATATAGAGTAGTGGAGTTTTTGGGGTATCTTTAGTGCATTGGCAGCTGAAGTGTCGGGTGGTCAGAATGTAGAGTGCCACAGATTAATGAGGGAAACACAGAATTCCCAAGTTCAGGATCATCAGTTCCTGGCCCTGCACAGGACACCCTGAGAATCACAATCAAAGGAATTAAAATGTGCTGAAGGAGAAGGAAGAATCATTGTCCGTGGGGTGGGAGCCTTGTGTGCAGGGTTTGGAGAAGGATGGACTGAGATGTTCTTGGAGAGAGGAGGTTCCCTGTCTCAATAGCCATGGCAGGGGTTGGAATGAGATGATTTTAAGGTCCCTTCCAAGCCAAAATGTTCCGGGGTTCCATGATTCTGTGATTCTGACCCCTTTCCACGTGTGGGATTTTGTGATCCCGGAGCAGTGGGTGGTATCCGAGCACAGGCCCCCATTAAGTGCAGCCTTGGAGAAGGCTCATCCCTCCCTGGAGCAGGCAGGGGTTTGGAGCTGGAGGTTGCCAGCTCCAAATCAATCTGTTACTTTATAAGCTGCCAACATAAAGAGTGTGGGGCGGGCGGTGGGAGCCGGAGCGCTCCGGCATTCCGGGGGGTTTGCAGGAGCCAGGGCAGCCCACACAGCTGGCTCCAGCAGGGATCGTGCTGGAGAGGGTGCAAAGAAAATTGGGAGGTGGTAAATCGTAGTTTGGGGGGGGGAGAAGGTGGTGGTTCTTAAAGCAAAAGGAATTTTTAGCCCCAGGGAGATCCATTCCCACCTCTCGGAGTTGCCGGGATGTGTCACTTGTCACCTGCTCTCCCTGGTGTGCTCCTGTCAGGACACGGGGTGTTCTCTCACACAGAGCACCCCAGGGCACAGCAGATCAAACTGCCACCTGCAATCCCTCTGGACCTAAAAAGGATCCCCTGGGCTGGGGAGATCCACTCCAAATTTCCCAGGAGGTTGAGTGAGTCCACTGTCACCTTCCAGGTGCTGGGACTTGGAGACCCAAGGGGGACTTGCACTGGAGCAGGAGCCTTGGGTGCTTCCAGCCTTGAACATCCCATTGGATGGAAGCTTTGCCTGACCTTAATTAGGCCTCATGTCTCTTGATTATTCCATGAATGCGGGTGAGTCGAGAGGGTAAATCCTTCCTGGAGAGATGATCGAAGGAATTATTTTTCCATACGTTGAAGCAGTTCTTTTATAATTAATCACTAGAATCCCAGGATGGTTTGGGTTGGAAAGGACCTTAACGCCCATCTCATTCCATGGGCAGGGACACCTTCCATCAGACCAGGTTGCTCCAAGCTGGCCTTGAACACTTCCAGGGATGGGGCAGCCACAATTCCTGCAGTTGCTCTGGACAACAGCGAATATTGAAGGTGGTTTTAATTAAAGCAGACAGTGGAGAGAATATGAAGGCCCAGGACCAGCCTCCTCCTCTGACAGCAGCAAAGGGGTTGAGGATGCACCTGTTTGGGCAGAAGCTTCTTATTGTGTCCTCAGACGAGGTTCTTCCTGAGCAGGATGCTCCTCCTCGTTCCCATGGATTAAAGCCCAGGATAAAATCCTCTGACTTAGCCCTGGGAAGGCTGAGGGTGTTAATTTGCTCTTTCTCCCCCGTCCCTTCTCCGCAGCAGCAGCAGGAGATGTTGGCCATGAAGCACCAGCAGGAGCTGTTGGAGCACCAGAGGAAGCTGGAGCAGCACCGGCAGGAGCAGGAGCTGGAGAAGCAGCACCGGGAGCAGAAACTTCAGCAGCTGAAGAACAAGGAGAAAGGAAAAGAGAGTAAGTGGCCAAAGCTCCCTTGTTTGGGTGGTGACAGGGAGAGCAGCTGAGTGGGAGCCAGAAAGGACCTTCCTAAAGCTGGAGGAACCTCTGTGAGTTCCTGGGCTGCACAGGGAACTGCTGGGAGGGATGGAGGGAAGAGGGAAATGTGTTTCTCTGCTTTATCTCCAGTTTTGTCTCACTAAATGCCTTTTTAGCGTTTTTCAAAAGGAAGCCTGGCCTCTCTTCCCTTGATTTAACATTTTTTGAAGTATTTTTGGCAGCATTCCTAATGGAGGCAGAATATTAAGCCCATAAAACACCAGATGCACCCTGCATTGCTTCTCTCTTTCACTCCTCTGAATCCCACTCCTTTTAAGACGTCGTTGAGTCCTCAGCTCTTCCCTTTAAAGCGTTTCCATTCAGCAGGAGCTTCTTTCAGGAGGCTACAGATTGTGGGGGCCCTTCCCACGTGCCATTATGCACTTGATGAGATCATTATGGCCTCACAATTTCCCTTATCAGAGGCACTTTGGGGCTGCTTGTTCTGGTTTCTTTTAGGAGTGAAAGGGAGGAAAAATGCCTCGCCAAGTTGTGCCCTCCATTCCCTGGGTCTTTGTTTCACAGGGAGCAAAGGAGCTCCTGGTGGGAGAAGTGGTGGAAGGGGGTGCCAGGAGGTGGGATCCTGTCTGGGAAGCAGGAATAAGGTAGAGTTCCAAGAAGAATTTTTCTAGTAGGAAAGTCTGGGAGAATAAAAAAAAAAAAGATGTCCTGGATGTCGAATCTCCTGCTCCCTGTGTGTGAATGTGGCAACTGGGAATCATCAAGGCCTGGAAAAGCCCTCTGAGATCATCAAGTCCATCCAATCCCCCAGCACTGCCAAGGCCTCCACTAACCCATGTCCCCAGGTACCACATCCACATGTTTCTTGGACTCTTCCAGGACTGTGACTGCACCACTGCCCCAGGCACTTTCCAATGCTTGACCACTCTGTCCATGAGGAAATTCTCCCTGATATCCCACCTGAGTCTCTGTGAAGTGGGATCAAAGAGCCTTTTGGGTGCAACACAGAGGTGCAGAGGAAAAATGAAAGAGAATTTTGGGGATGTTGAGCCGAGGCTCCTGTTCCCATGGCTACAGTTTTATTTTTAAATTACTTTCTAGTTAAGAAGTGCTGTGGTGTAGAATCATTAGAGCACCTCAGCTCTTGAGGATACTCAAGTTATTTTTCGCACCTCGGAAAATTTGGAGCAACGCAGCTAAAATTGTCCTGATCTGAAATATGGAGAGTGTGGGATAGAGGTGGAGTTCCTTCTCCCTCCTTGTTAACACCCCTGCTCTGCAGCCAGGCTGGGAGAGCTGGGGGGGTTCACCTGGAGAAGGGAAGGCTCCAGGAGACCTGAGAGCCCCTTGCAGGGTCTAAAGGGACTCCAGGAGAGCTGGAGAGGGACTGGGGACAAGGGATGGAGGGACAGGACACAGGGAATGGCTTCCCACTGCCAGAGGGCAGGGAGAGATGGGATATTGGGAGGGAATTCTTCCCTGTGAGAGTGGGCAGGCCCTGGCACAGGGTGCCCAGAGAAGCTGTGGCTGCCCCTGGATCCCTGGGAGTGTCCAAGGCCAGGCTGGAGCAACCTGTGCTAATGGAAGGTGTCCCTGCCCATGGCAGGGGGTGGAATTGGATGATCCTTAGGATTCCTCCCAACCCAAACCCTTCTATGATGTCTGGGGCCTTTCACCCTCCAGCCAAGGAGAGAAACCTGCCAGGGGAGCTTCTGTAAACCTCACCATCCTAAGCTGTTCAGCTTCAAGTCTTCCAAAGAACAGCTTTATCCCAAGCTGACAGGACACAGCCACATCTGATTGTTTTAAAGATGCTGATGGATTAAAGAAGACACTGTTTGCAGAGAGGAGGCCTTGAAGCAGGAATTTGTCACCTCACCTGTTCTTGCTGCTCAGGAATCTATCTCCGACTCCTCAGCTGAACTTGCCACCAAACCTGTGTTTGGAGAGCAAGTGTGAAATGCAGGGCTCCAAAAAGGGGGATTTTTGCACTTTTGAGCACTGTTTCAGTGTTTGAACAGTATTTCACCCTCAGGCTCTGCCTTATAAGAAATGTTGCAGTTTCCTCCTCTTGGGGAGAGACCATGGATTGTTTCCCCTGTGTGTCAGATGTCACCACATCGTCGAGGGGGATCCGGGAGCCGAAAATACCACGGGGTGATCTTTGAGTTTTTATTCCTAGTAGAGCAGACACTTTTCCTGGCTTTTTCATTCCCTCCTTGCCTGGATATTTTCCTTTGGAACTCCTGCTTTACGCCCCGGTGTAGATGAAGCATCATTTTCCACGTGTGCCGGTGCCAAAGTTTGGACGCGCCGCTCCGGCAGGAGCTGTGCCGGGGAGTCTGGGCTGTCAACCCAATGAGCACTTGGATCCATCAGGGCAGGAAAGCAGCCTGGTCTCCATTGTGGAGAGGAATCAGGATGAGAAATTACACAGCTGACACTTTAACTCTGCAAAAATCACCGAGTTTCTTCGTGAAATGTTGGGTTTTCCGTGTGAGGCAGGAGGTTGGACACTGGGAAATGAGTTGGAATTGGTGTGCACAGGGACTCTGGGACAAAGAGGTCCCTCTTTGCAGGAGTTTTCAAGACAAAATCTGCATGTGAGACGTTGGGCTCCTTCCCCTCCTGCTTCCAGATGTGACATTTAGCAGCTGGAGTTTCCACAAGACCCTTTTTCTCTCACAGCTTTGATTCAAGGAGAGCTGGAGCACCTCGGACAAGTGCTTTATTCCAAGTGTCTTCTATACTGGTGCAAAATCCTTGAAATTAAGTGAAATTAAAGCTCTGATTACATCCCTATTTTCAAACATAACTTGTGATTCTATGCAAAGCTAAAGGGGGGAAAAAAAGAAAGGGAGAGCTCCTTCCTGGAGGCACTTTGTTCTTTTCCCTTTGAAAGCCAAGTTCTTCTTTTGGGCTGGAAATCAAAGATTTAACTCTGAATCTTTAGAGACATTTAAAATTCTTCCCAGGATGGGAATTGATTAAAAAAAAAACACACCTTTCTTTTATTTTATTTTATTTTACCTTTCCTTGCAGGTGCAGTGGCAAGCACAGAAGTGAAGATGAAGTTGCAGGAGTTTGTGTTAAACAAGAAGAAGGCCCTGGCCCACCGGAATCTCAACCACTGCATCTCCAGTGACCCTCGCTTCTGGTACGGGTAAGTGGGGCTGGTCCTTGGCACTCCAGCCGCTGCAGATGTGGGGAACAGGCCTGACGTGCTCGTGGGGTGACCCAGAGTTCCCAAAGCTCCCTTTCCAGAGGGTTTCAGTGGGAATAATTCCCGTGTCTGCCGGGATGGTCGTGGTGCGTTGAGGCCTTTGCTGTCCTCAGTCCCCAGCTGTTCCAGCTCACAGGTCCCACACATCAACCTGTGGAAGTTGTCCAGCTTTTCACCCAGGGTTTGGTTTTCAGGTGTTTTAAAACTTGAGGAAACTGAGGAATAGTTGTTCCTGTCAGGAGCTGGATTTCACTGATCCTTGCGGGTCCCTTCTGGCTCAGGAGATTCTGTGAGTCGCTGAATTTTCAACTAAGGATAGTTGAGCAACCTCCCGTTTTAAAGCCTTTAACACTTTCTGCTCATCTCAGTCTCTCAAAGTGGGAAGTCTTGTTTATTTGACTCTTTCTGGAAACATCCGATGAGTCCTGTCCGCACTTCCAGTCACAGCTGCCCCAATGTCTCTGTTTGCAACTGAAAAATCAAATTTTCAACTGGAAATTTTCGACTCTCGGTCTCCAAGAAAGCACTTTCAGCTTCAGAAAATCACTCCTTCATTGTATAAAAGACAAGCAGGAAATTTGAGATGAGTTGAAAACTTCTACTGCCATGACATTGTGACTCTATTAAATAAAAAGCCAAAGTGCTTTGGGTGTTGTCGTTAGTGAGAATAAAATTAATGAAATTTTGAACGACAGAAATCAAGGACATTTCATTTTGCCATGAAATTCGTGTTCAGGCTGAGGTTCTGACAGTGCTTCAAGTCTTAAAAACTGAACATGTGTACAGGGAGGATGAGGTCATAGCCAGAAGATGTTTCCAAATTCCAGAAACTGAGCTGAAATGCAATTTGAAAGCTCTCCCAGCTCTGAGCCAGGACAGAAATGCTGAAGTGGAGTTGGCAGAAGGATTCAAATGTTCTTCCAGTCCAGGGAGATTGAGCAGTTTTAAAACATCTCTGAAAATCTAATCTGAGACTTGGGGATTTTCTTAAAGGTGGTTGAAGGCCCTGAGCCTTCATGTTCTCCATTTAACAGCTGGTTAAAATAGCAGTTAATCCAGGAGTGGTAGAAAGTCAGTAAAAATTGAGAGTGTCCGGAGAAGCTGTGGCTGCCCCATCCCTGGAAATGCCCAAGGCTTGGAGCAACCTGGGCTGGTGGAAGGTGTCCCTGCCCATGGCAGGGGTGGAACAAGATGGATTTTAAGGTCCCTTCCCACCCAACCCATCCTGGGGTTCTCTGTGTTGCAGGGCCGGGGGTGATGCAGGAGGTTATTCCTCGTGTTTGGGGTGTCAGGATGTTCCTGCCCTGGTCTAAGCTAATGCTGAGGACTTTCTGAGCACCAGTGTATTGTTTAGGTTCCCTGTGGCACTTACTAATCCCAGCACCCCCCTCCTGTGACGCTCCAGGGATGCCAACAACAAACCACTGCACAAAGATCCTTCCTTTTTCCTATGGATTTAAGGACCATCCCCTCGTCTGTTTTGTGGTGGGGTGAGGGTTGCTCTTCTGGTTTCTAACCCAGGGTGGAAGGAGGAGCCTCAGAGGCCTCACAGATCTTTCCTGGGGCCTCTGTCAGCGCTGAGTTGCTCAGCTCAGCCTCTGAGGAGGGCACGTGGCAGCGGGGTGGAGGATTTGGAAACGCACCCTTTGCTCAAGGCAGGAGCTGAGGAAGATTTTTCCTTTCTGTTCCGTTTCAAAGAACCTTTAAATTCCTTACATATTAGTATTTATTTGTATGGCATCTCATAGGTTACCAGCTCAGTTCTAGAGATATTTATGTCCCCACATACTTGCCATGTGATGCAGTTGGGTGGTGGTTGGATTGAACACACGCAAACGAGCCTCGCAGGAGATGCTCCCCATGCTCCCACTGTGAGCAGGGAAGGCAATTAAGTGGTACCAGATGCTGCAAGAGCCTTTGGAAATGACACACCAGCTTTTAAGCACTTCCTTTTGGTCTTATTAAGGTTTGTGAATTCCTTTCTTGAAAAAATTGAAAGCATTCCTTGGAAAAAAAAAAAGGCATCTCCTGAGGGTGTTGAGCACCATGGCAGTGGCTGTGACAGGAGAGATGTCCTGCTGACATGGAATCACCAAGTCCTGAAGGTTGGAAAAGACCTCTAGGATGATGCCCCATCCCTGGGAGTGTCCAAGGCCAGGTTGGACAGGGCTTGGAGCAGCCTGGGCTGGTGGAAGGTGTCCCTACCCATGGCAGGGGGTGGCACTGGATGGGCTTTAAGATCCCTTCCAACCCAAACCAGTCTGTAATTCCATGACAGGCAACAGCAGAAGAGGTTCTTTGGAAGTTCCTGGTCAGGCTGTCCCTCCTGTGGATTTTGAGCCCACTGGAGAGCTCAGCTCGCAGGAGGTTTTGCTCTGGGAGATCCAGCTTGGCAAGAGCACCTTGGGCTCAGCAAACAAGGCTGGGATTTCCCTGGGAAGTCATCAGCAATGCTTGGGAAGCAGCTACTCCCATGTTGAAAGGGAGTTTAACTGAGTGTTTGCAGGGTCAGGAGGTAGAGAGATATAATTATACTTGAAATTAGACATTAAATTCTACATTAAATTATTCCCACCTTCACAGGTGTCTCCACCCTGTGTGCACAAAACATTCCAGCACAGTCCATATGTTTGAAGGTGTATTCAGTGTCTGTTGGGTGAACATGTTTGAAGGATAAAACCATGGAGTCATTAAGGCTGGAAAAGACCTCCAAGATCATTAAGTCCAACCTTTATGTCTGCACAGGGGTGTTTGAAGGACCTCAGAGAGCAGGGGATGCCTGAAATGAAGGGATGTGCTTTCAGGAATGCCTGCAGGCTCCATTTATGAACCATTTCCTCTCCTTCAAGAGCTCTGGAATTCTTGACCAGGCATGCAGAGCAGTGCCTTTTGCTGGGAGCAGCGTCACATCCCGGTCCTGGAGCCATGGAATGCGCTCCTGTTTGCAGAGCTCAATATCTGTCATTCAGCAGCCCCAGAGCACATCTAAACAGGCCCTTTGAATTCCTGCACATTCCCTGTGAAGGGATGCAGGCAGCTTCAATGTCCTCAATTGTGTGCTTTAAGTCATGATTTAAAAAAAAAAGGAAAAGGAGAATAAAAAAGGCTCTTGCCCCGTGCAGAGCCAGAAGTGGCATTGTGTGGCAGGATGGGGCTCTGGGACTGCAGCTTCCCAGGAGTGAAACCTCTCTCTGTGCTGCCTTCCCAGGGGATGAGCAGATAGGTCCCAGGCACAGAAAGCCCCCTCTGTTTTCAGGAGGGATCCCAAGATTTCTCAGTTTGTGGGTGTGTTTTGCTCGCAGGTGACGGTCAAAGGGCAGGGGGTGTTGGGGGGTGGGGGTGTCACACAGGAGAAATACAGCCCTGGGGGGGCCCCAAATGTCAGAGAGACTGGGAGGGTGAAGAGGGAGGGTTGGGGAAACACAGTGGATCACACTCCTTGGTGTGATCTCTTGGAATGGGTTGGGTTGGAAGGGACCTTAAAGCCCACGTCGTTCCACCCCCCTGCCATGGGCAAGGGACACGTCCCACCAGAGGTCTGTGGGTGTGGGAAATGGCAGTGGAGGTGTTCAAATGAACTCTTCAGAGGGGTGTTTTTGGTAACAAAATCATGGAGAAAATTCAGTGTGTTTTCTGGGTGGTTCCTTAGCCCCGTGTTTCTGGAGGGTTTGACTCGCAGTGGAGTCGATGCTCTGCATCTCCCCAGACTTCTGGCTTGAGTTTGCACTCAGGGAATGGGAGGATTTGGGATTGGTACTGCTCAAGGAATTGGATGAATCTGTGCAGTTTTCAACTGGGAATGGCTCATTTTTGTTCCTTAAAGAACCTTTTGGAGCAGAATGTTTTCAGCCAAGGTCTCCAACAATGCCTGTTTTTAGGCAATGTAAAATTTCACATATTCCCTTCTTTTTTTAACAAAGTGCTGCTTTCTGTTGTCCTGTTTTCTTTAGTATTTAGAAGAAACACAGGGTTTAAATTCTATTCATTGTAAGTTAAGTTGTAAGAGCCCAGTGACTGTCACCTGTGTGGCTAAATCAGTCATTCTGCTGGTGTAGCTCCTCTGCCAACTGGAGACTTCTCCCAGGTTGGGAGAGCTCCTGAGAAACAGCAGAGCTGGGCACAAGTCATTAAGTAGGAAAGATGCAGCCAACAAACTGGTGGGAGGCTGAGAAAACTCATTCATTATTTAATATCCTCAGCAAACAGACTGTAATTTACTTCCAGCAGCCTGCTCAAACAAAGCAATAAATTATCAGCTTGGAGAAGTTCATCTGGGAAGGTGCTGAGAGCTTTGGCCCTGGCTCTGCTGAGCCCTTGGGTTGGGAGGCAGCGAAGGAAAGGCAGGAGACCACCTTTGGCTGCTCTTGGCCAGCTTCAGTCTTTGAGCCTTTGCTGAAAATCCAGGTTTGACTTTGCTAAATCTGGGTTTATTCTGAGAAGGGAAATTGGTCGTCCGTGCCGTGGCTGAGGGGGGTGACAACACCCGTGGTTACGTTCGAGAACATGACTTAGCAAAACCCAGCCCAAGTACAGGCTTAGAATTTACACTGATGGTTAAATACCTTCACAGGGTGATTCCTGCACTGAAAACTAAGTTTAGTTGCTTCCCTGTGTATGAGATTTTAGGGTTTCTTCTGTGGGAGTGCCCAGGAGGACAAAGGCAGAACTAAAGTCTGAGATCCCAGACCCTGCGCTCGTGCCCTGTGTGTGTCCCTGCTCTAAAGCTTCTCCTTGTCTCTCCTCCTGTGCAGGAAGACCCAGCACAGCTCTCTGGACCAGAGTTCCCCTCCCCAGAGCGGCGTGTCCGGCACCTACAACCACCCTGTCCTGGGGATGTACGACTCCAAAGACGACTTCCCGCTCCGCAAGACAGGTGGGCTCCTCTGCTCTCCTTCCCTGTCACGCTGGCTCCTCTGATTTCATTTGATTTGATTTTCCCAAAAAAAAGCAGGAGATAGTTTATGTTCAGATTTCCCAGTTTAGCCCAGGGGCCTGAAGATGGAACCTGGCTGCCAAACAAACTGAAGAAGGAATTGCTGCTTGTTGATCTGCTCCTCTTGGAGAGACTGTATGGAAGCATCCAGGCAATCCTGGAACCTCTTTACTGTACAGAAATCATATCAGATGTTGGGTTTGTTGTTTTTTTTTTGAGAAGTAACATGTGCAGCTTTGCTAGACCAGCTCCCATTTCCCTGCTGGTCAGAAATGGTGGTGGAAATGTGTAGGAAACGGCACGTGTGGATCAGCATTTTTACCTTTGCAGTGCTAGGAGGCTGCAGAACTGCAATAACCACAGACAACTGTATCTGGTGCTTTTAAAAAGTCATAGAAGTTCCAAAACCGTGCAAAAATCCAGCAAATTCCCAAATTCAGAGCTAAGACAGAGATCTAGGTGTCATGAGTGGATCCATGGGTGGATTCCCATCTGTTCCCCCTCCCTGGGCATGGTGGGATGGTTGGGTGGCAAGTGCCAAACACTTCAGCTGCACTAGAAGGCAATCATAAATTGTCTCCAGGAATGTGGGTTTTCCCTGGGAAAGGTTCCCCTGGACCTTTGGGGGATGATGATTTTGCCTGTGTCCTTCCTGGAGGACTCCAAAAACTTGGGTTTGCTGAAGGCAGGGCATCCTCCAATCTCTGCTTCTGAGGGAGGAGAGACTTCCCAGGCTCCTCTGGGAAACCCCAGCATTTCCATGCAGGGAAGCATCCCTTGGCACCATCCCTGGGGCCAGCCTGATTCCAAGAGGTTTTTAGCTCTTCCCTGTGCCTCGTGAAAGCAGGTGATGCATTCCTGGCCTGTTAATCATTCCCACGGTGTGGATGGACTTTGCCACGCTCCAAAGCCTCCCTGGCTCATCCCCCCAGGGGATCTTCTCCACCTGGGATTGAGGATGGGCCGCCCCTCTTGCTCCCAGGGCTCTGGAAGGAGGAGGAAAACATCTGCACATCTGCCCCTGGGCTGCTTCCCAGGCTGAGCTCTCCCTGAGACTCCTGCAGAATAAACCCCTGGCAGACAGGGGGAATTAAGGCTGATAAATGGATCTAATCACATTATTGGGAAGGGGAAGCAACCGAAGCCGTGGCTGTTTTCAAACGGGAAGATGCTGAGCTGATTTGGGCTTTCCAGAAGGCTGATGCTTGTTCTTTCTGGGCACCAGCATTAATCTTCTGGGATACAAATGAGTTCAGGGCAGAATTTGGGGATGTTTCCTTGTTTTCTTTTATTTTCCTTTCAACGCAACAGCACGTCAGGCTCTGGCACAGCGAGATCCTGCAGAATTCCCAGTGCCAAGAATGTTAAGTTGCTTGGAGAAGAAAGGCTCCTGAGCAGTCTGGTGTAAACAAAAGGCAGGGAAGGCTGGAGCCCATCCTAAATAAAGTTCTTTATTGCTGGTGAGCTTTTCAGATTTTTGGCACCAGGAGCCCTGGCTTTGTGTTGGTAATTTAAAACCTCCGTGTCGCGGAGTCCAATTTTATTAAATTTGATTAAATATTTGCGGCTCAAATAACAGAATCCATCGCAGTAGAGTTCTGATTACCGGGGCTGGAGTCCAACCAGCATCATCCCTGGGGAGAGGGTGACTTAGGGGGCTGTGGGAAGGCAGTTTGAACGAGCAGCTCTTCCAGGGGACAGCTTGTAAAATTTTTAGGAAGAATAAATATTCTTCATCCCTGGAAGTGTCCAAGGCCAGGTTGGACGGGGCTTGGAGCAACCTGGGCTGGTGGAAGGTGTCCCTGCCCATGGCAGGGGGTGGCACTGGATGGGCTTTAAGGTCCCTTCCAAAATTCCATGAAATTCTGTGTGTCTTTACTCTCATTTAGAGCCTCCTGCTGTGGTCACGGGTTGTGGCAGAGGGAGATGTGCAGGAATGGAGTCTCAGGAGTGCGTGGAAGCCTTTGGAATGGGATACACTCCACACTTGCAGCGGGCTCCTGATGCATCCTGTGCCCTCAGATCCTCCTCCCTCTGATTTGCTTTCCTGAATTATGTTGCAGTTCCCTTGGCCGTTCCATTTTTTTTGATTTCAGTTTTTATGTTCCAGTTTTTCGGTTTCAGTGAGAAATTGTTTTCCTGGTGCAGTTACTGATTGCCTGAATCCTGGGGATGCATTTCACTCCTTCCCTCTCTCCAAATTCCCTGGGCTCTTCCTTGTATTGAACTGATCTAAGAACAGTTTGGTTGGTGCTGCTGGGAAATACCTGGATTAGCACCAGGGTTTTTATTTCCCATTTTGGGTAGTCTCCATTATTCTAGATAATGTTTTAGTGTCTGTGTTTTGTTGGGAGCTGTTGGGAGGGGAAAACTTAAGTGACCATTTCAGCCCCCAGGTCAGTGTGGGGACTTCCAAATTTAATCACTTTCAGTGGGATCCTCTGAGGAAAATCTCTGGGGGATCCTTACAGAGGAGTTTTAGAGGCTCTGGAAGCCTGTTTTGATAACCCCAAGAGCTGTTTGTCAACAGCTTTCTTGGAGCTGCTGAAGTGGTTTTGAACAGAGCTTTTCAGTTTTGCATTTCTAAGGAATTCTGTCCTCATTTTCTCCCTGGGAACAAGGTTGTTAAAGGCATTCCCTGCTTTCTGAAATTCGAGCAGTGGATGTATTAAAACACTGTTAATTAGAAAGCTGCCACCACCACCACCATGGAGATTTAAAGGGAATTATTTAACTTCTTAACATGCTTTTCCTCTTGGGTGTTTTTTTGGTTGCTGTGGGTTTTTTCAAAATCCTTTGGAGAGTCACGGAATCCCAGGATGGTTTGGGTGGGAAGGGACCTTAAAGCCCATCCAGTGCCACCTCCTGCCACGGGCAGGGACACCTTCCACCAGCCCAGGCTGCTCCAAGCCCCGTCCAACCTGGCCTTGGACACTTCCAGGGATCCAGGGGCAGCCACAGCTTCTCTGGGCAGTGTCACCCCTGCTTGAACAAAAAGGTAATTTCTCTCTATTCAAATGTTGGGTGTTGCAAAAGGCTGATTCCAGGCAGCATTTCTCCCTCTCCTGTGTTTTCTCTTGGAGTGACCTGGATGTTAGAGGAGAGCCAAAGGAGTTCTCTTGAGCTTTGCCTGGCTGGTGAGGCTTAGTAGGAAAATAATTAAAATATTAAAAATGATAATAATAATAACAATAATAATAACAGAGTAACATCCCTTCTCAGTCCCCAGCTGCCCAAATGAAGCTGTCCCAGGACTGGGAGCAGGGCTCTCCTGGGGCATTGTTGGCTTTAATTCCATAACTGTGGATGGGCAATGGGGACAGGGCAGAGTCTGCCCAGGACTTGGTGGGTTTTTGCCTTCCATAGGTTCAATGTCTGATTAGTTGAGCAGCTTAAGGGCTGCAATTCTAGGAAAAAAAACAATGGGAATGACATAAATGTTGGAAGAATTGGATTACATGGGCCCTGCTGCACTCAGTGACGTAGGAGAGGGGTAACTTGGGCTGGAGCCTGTGAAAACTAGGGAAGCTTTTTGGCTTATGTTCTGGTTATTAATTTCCTGGGAGGAAAACAGAATATTCTTTGTATAAATCCTTATTATAGGCCAAATTAAGGATGTCAGGGCTCCAGAAATCTCACTGGCTTTGTGGGAGCTGACTCACACTTGGGCATGGGCTTCATTTGTTTACTGAAGGGGGTTTTTGATCAACTTCACCGCCTCTGTTTTAAAGATTTCGCTTCAAGATGTAGAGGAGCAGGATTTTTTTTAACTGGAGTTGCATTATTTAGTCTCCAATTTTTTAATTTGCTCCAGTTAGCAAGGCTTTGGTTGGGCATATTGGTGAATTTGGGGAGATTTCCAGTGGGACTGGTGCTCCTGAGGGAACACTGAACGGGCATGGACTGTCAGGAATTGATAGTTATGTGTTGCTTAAATTCCTATTTTATACTTGGGAAGGACAGCTCTCCTCAGCTTCAAAATGTTTTTCTTATAAAATACTTTATTTAGCCATCTGAATAAGGTGAAAATCTTGCTTTGAGTTTTGGAGGCTTCATCTTTTATTGTAAAATAGGTTTTGTGTCAATTCTGTGAATTAGAGGCTGTTCTGTGCTGAATTTTAATTCACCTACTTTGGGCTCTCAAGCACCCAATTAAATCCATGTAGGGATTATGCTCTCTGAGGTCTTGATGCCATGTTAGATTTGGGATTATATCTGGGGGATAAACAACAAAATCAGAGCAGTTCTTTAAATAGACCTTTTGGTGTTTCAAAACTTGATCCTCCAGCTGAGGAAGCGAAGGAGGAAAATACAGAATGATTTTGCCTTAAAATGGTTTAATCTGACAAATTCCAGTACATTGCAGCTTATTCTGGAGGTGTTTTTCAAGGCTGCAGTTTTCTATGTTCCTTTCTTGTTATATAAAGGGGTGTTTTTATTGTGGCTTTACGTGGGGGCTTCACGTCTCTGACCCCAAATCTTTTGTTTCCCTGCCCATTTTTAAGGTGATTTTTAAGCCAATTCGTTCTCTGTATTTGAAAGCCACCCCATTAGTGGTGTGTTCCCATCCTTCAGCAGGGTATAAATGGGGTAAGAATAAAATTTGGGGCTGATATACAGTTTTTTATTGACATGCTTTCCTTTCTCCTTCCAACAGCTGTGGCTTGGATTCCATTGATTCTCAGTGGGTGTTTCAACACCCAGCTGGGACACCGTCCCATTTCAGAGAATCCCAGGGTGGTGTGGGTTGGAAGGGACCTCGGAGATCATCTCGTTGCAGCCTTGATCAGAGCATCCTGACACTTGGGAATGCTCAGTCTGTGGGACAGATTAAAGCTGGGAATTGAAGGATGTGGGGTGACCTCTGTACCCAAAGACTTGACTTTAAAGCTACCAAGTCAACTTCTGGTGTGAAGGGAACTTCCAGAAGGAGCTGTTTGGAGCCTGTGCTTGTATTTGAACTGGTCCACCCTTCCAATTTGCATGCAGCCATTTAATATGCAAATGCCCTCTAAGATGATTCCCCCCTTGCTAATGCACTTCATTCTGCATTGGAAGCATCAGCTCCAGGAGCCTGACACTCTTCTCAGTGCTCCCTTTATCTCTGGCTGGCATTTTTCTGTCCAAAACATTCATGACAAGCTTTTTTTTTTTTTTTTTTCCCCCTCCTAAAAATTCCATCAAAGAACTGTTTTTTGATGGCTTAACTTGAAGCATTTGATCTTGAATTCATCAGCCTTCTGGTTTTTTGAGCCCTGCAATTAACGTTGTCAGGCTTGATCTTCGAGGTGACCCCGTGGTCAAAGCCAACTGGAGGGAAGTAGAGCTGTAGCCAGGCTTAGTTAATTCAAATCAGTTTGTAAGCCCTGTTTTAATTCTTCTAAAGAAATGGAGATTATTGGCCCTGGAGCGTGTTGGTTGTTAATGGTGTGAGCGCAGGATTTGCTGGTTCAAAGGGATTGTGTTGAGAGGTTGGGGAAGGGAAAAGATGGGGCCAGTCCCCACCTTTCAGAACTGTCAGGAGCCCTCAAGCCTCCCAGCAGAGATTTCACTTGAGACTAGGGCAGATCTGGAGGTTTCCAGAGAAAATCATCTTGAGAAAATCCTCTTGACTTGCTGCTGCATCACCTCTACAGAGGCCTGATAAGTGGACTGGCTGTTTGCAGCTGTCCTCGACCCAGAGCCATCAGGGCTTCCCAGGAGCTCTGGAGGAGATGGAGTCTCAGGATTTGGGCACAGCAGAGGTTTGGAAGAGTCTCTGGAAAGCGTGGTGTCCACAGAGCAAGTCAGACTGTGGGCACAGGGAGTGCACCCACACCCACCCTTGGCAGCCCAGAACCTTCCAAGCATTTGATGTGGGTTTAGATCTACCTGAACTTTGGGGCTGTGATGAGGTAACCACGTTGCTCCCCAAACAAACAAACCTTCTCCTCCCTGGTGCTGGCTTTCCTTGGCCACACTCTGAGGCCCTTTTCCTGGAGTGGATGTTCCTCGAGGCTCCTGAGACCCCAGGCTGAGTCGCTTCAGGGGGTTGAAGCAGCAGGAAGCACTCCCCTGGTTTGGTCGTGGGGTTCCATTTTGGTGTTTGGTGTCCTCTTCCCCTGGTGTCCCTCCCTCCCCCTGGGGTTGGATGCCTCTGAGGGTGTGGAGCTGCCCATTCCAGATAGATCTCAGCCCACGGGGATGCTCCACGCTGACCAACAGCAGCATCCCCGCCGTCTCACCCGTTCCTCTGCTGATGATGCCTTGGATAAGTCAGGTTTACTGCTGGGCTGGGAGCAAGTCAGGCAGAGTTGGGAAACTGGGAGATGGGCACGATGCTGTCTGCACTAACCCCAGCGAGTTCTCAGCAGTTTGTAGGTCTGTGAAGACTCAGAGGAGGCTTTGCAGGACATTTATTGTATTTTTAACTCAAATGCCATTGCCATTCCTTGTCAGTGAATTCAGGTGTCAGAGAGCCTGGGATCCGTTTGTTGTATGAAAAGGTCTGTGTTCCAAAAACATGTTATGGGGTGACTGATTTAATTGAACCTCCTGCAAATGCTCAGCTGCAACCACTGCAGCCAGCTCAGCTCAGCTCAGCTCAGCTCAGCTCAACTCAGCTCAGCTCAGCTCAACTCAGCTCAGCTCAGCTCAGCTCAGCTCAGCTCAGCTCATCTGTGAGCTGAGTAAAAAGCTGCTGAAATAATCGTAACCAACCCGCTGTTTCCTTTCTCCTTTTCCCTTCTGCTGGCCAGCCTCTGAGCCCAACCTGAAGCTGAGATCCAGGCTAAAGCAGAAGGTGGCTGAGAGGAGGAGCAGCCCCCTCCTGCGCAGGAAGGACGGGCCGGTGGTGACGGCGCTGAAGAAGCGCCCGCTGGACGTCACAGGTACGGCGAAGCACACGGGGCACCCCCTTCCCAAAATGAGCTCCTGGGCCTGGCAGTGGGTCTTTCATATATTTTGACTCCTGTTTGGCAGTTTCCTGATGAAAAATCATGTTCTTCTGGGAGTGAAGTTGGTAAGGAGGGCTCAGAGCAAAGGAGGTGATAGCACAGATATTTACCATAAAGTTAATTCTTAGCACCATCTAGGGATGTCTCTGGGTAAGTACCACCAAGTGACAGCTTTTCCAGACTCGTCTCACTCAAAGGCACATGATCATCACTCAGAGGAACTCAAAATTAGCTCCCTTTGGAGAATGTGGTGGGTTTGGGGCACGCTGGGCACTTCCCTGTGTCAGAGCCTCTCTGCTTGCAGAGGGAGTAGGTGATTTCAAGAGCTGAGAGTCGTGGAATATCCAGAGTTGGAAGGGACACAAGGATCATCCAGTCCAGCTCCTGGGATGGTCCAGTCCTCCTGCACAGAGCCATCCACAGCAATCCCACCATGTCCCTGAGAGCATTGTCCAAACACTCCTTGAGCTCTGGCAGGCTTTCAGAGGTGAAAATCAAATGTCTGTCACTCCTGTATTGCTATTTGGCACATGGCTTTTAGGATAAAGCAGCCTCTCCTGGCTGACCACTTCTCCCAGTAATGCCTTCAGAAATGGCAGTGGGAGCTCCCCTTTCCCACTGATACAGAGCTGGTTCGAGAAGCCACTCTGCAGTTTTTATGGGAAAAGGGGATTTTTAAATGGAAAATAACTTTTTTAAGAAGTCCCACTTCAGGGAATAGAAATGATGTTTAATCCCTGAAGAATACAGGGCATTCTGGTGGGACATCTTCCACCAGCCCAGGTTGCTGACCTGGGACACTCCCAGGGATCCAGAGGCAGCCACAGCTTCTCTGAGCAACCTGTGCCAGGGCCTGCCCACCCTCCCAGGAAGGAATTCCTTCCCAATATCCCATCTAACCCTGCCCTCTGGCAGTGGGAAGGTATTCCCTGTGTCCTGGCACTCCAGGCCCTTGTAATAATTAGGTTTGATTCTCCTGGGCCATCCTGGAGCAGTGAGGAACCTGCTGCAGCCTGAACCACTGCTGGGAGGTTCTCCTGCCCCTGGGCAAATCCTGTGCTTGGAGAGGAGGAAAGTTCAGAAGAAAAGGGTTTAATGTTACTGAACTTCCCAAATAGAAGGAGGAACACTGGCAGCTGTGCCATGCACCAGGTGAGAGACCCTCTGAGGGAAGTCTGAGGTGTCCTCAGGGTCAGAGGGGAAAGAGGGGGAGAGCAGCTCTTCTAGAAAAATGAAGCAGAACAAATCCAACATCCTCCAGTTTGACCTCTTCAAGCCTTCCATGTCTTTTATTATCTTTCACTCATATTTAAAGTTATTAATACACTACAAGAGAAATCCCCAGGGGGAGAAGTCATAAATATGGTAAGTAGGTCCTTGGACAAACCATTTGAAAGTGTTTGTTGGTATTTTAAGAGCCTTGGGAATATTTGGGGGGAAGATGGGGAGGAGGAGGAGGGCTGCTTTCCTCCACAACAGAGCTTGGGGGGTTGTTATCTGACTAAATACCATCCCAGAGATTGTTTGGAATGTTCAGAGTTGCTTTTGGATGTGTTTTTCAGACTCTGCATGCAACAGTGCTCCTGGATCTGGTCCCAGCTCTCCAAACAACAGCTCCAACAACATCAGCACCGAGAACGGGATTGCGGGATCGGTCACGAGTATCCCGGCAGAGGTACCGAGCCCTCCCCCCTGCCTCTTCCCCCTTGGGCTGCTGACCAGGCCTTGCAGAGTTTCAGGAGTTTGGGCTTAGGAACCACATGAAAGGAGAAGCCCAGCTGGTGGCTCGGAGCAGCCTTTGGGAATTACCCCTGGGCTGACGGGCCGTGTTATCTGTCTATGGAATCTGGTTTGAAGCAGCTTGTGGTGACTTGCAGTGGTTTTGCAGCGAGGAGAGAGTAAAAATAAAGTGGTTCAGCAAGGTCAAATGCAAGTATTTTAGTGTTTGGGGGATTTATTCCTGTGCATGGGGTGAGTTTGTTGTGTGCAGTAGGTTGGTCTGAGCGTGACCAAACCAGAGCTGGATTAAAGGGCTTTTACCAGCTGGGCACTTGAAAACTCGGAGACTGTTACCATGTGCCCGTTTATAACCCCATCAGCTTTCACCATCACTTGAGGCATCTGCTGTGGATGTCCAGGGCAGGTTGGGCTGGGTCAGCTGGGCTTGGATCCCTCCTGGCAGCTCCTGTTTTCGGGGATTCCGGAGCGCAGCTTTTCCCAGGGAGTGGGCCACGTTAACTGCCTCCCAACGTTCCCTTGCAAGTCGAAAACCAGTGTGGTTGTCTGATGTTACTGGGGCATTTCTGATGTTACTGGGGCATTTTATCCAGCTTCCCATTAGCTGTTTTCCCCATGAATATAGACTCTGTTTTGACATCAGGGCTCTCAGAACAGGCTTGGGCTTGTTCTCCACAAGTATTCCCTTAGAATTGAAAAGGGCTTCTCATGATGTAAATGTCAGCCCTTTTTGCTTTCTAGTCTTGGGCAGATTTGCACTTTATTTTTATTTCTAATGTAGTGTAACAGTATTTAAGATATGAATATGCCTCCTCCTGCAGCCTCTCCCCTGCCAAATTACCCAGCACACGTTCCAAGTCCGTAGGAGACCTTCTAGACTCAAATAATTATTGTAAAGATTAAGGCGTGGAAGGTGGAGGCTTCTCTTGCCCCGGGAAGATGAGCACTGAGTGATTGATTTTGCTGCTCCAGGAGTTGTCAGTCCTGTGTATCCTTGGCCAACTGGAAATGCCCAGTTATTGCTGCTGGAAGAACTAGTGGATTTGACAGTTTTTGTGAAATGGGCAGAGCAGGAAGCTTCCCCCAAATCCCTGCCCGTGGCAGGGGTTGGAACTGGACGGTCCCTTCCAAGCCAGACCCTTCCCTGAGCTCCTGCAGGGGAATGTGAGCCTGTAGCACTCTCCTCATCCACTTCATTTGTCAGCTGAATAACTGGAGCTAATCATCTGGGACCAGACCGCTGATTCCTCATCAGATGGACACAGACAATAAGGAAAACTCTCTCCATCAACTGCTTGTAATGCAGTAATTTTGGAATTTAGGCTGAGGCATGAGCAGCACAGATGATTTGGAAAAAAACCCTGTCCTGCCAAAGCCTTTCCCTTTCCCAAATTAAAATAACTGCACTTTGTGCCAGCATTCCATGTTGTGTGATCCCAGCTGATCCATTGGCCTGTATTGTTTCATTTGGGAAAAAATTAGTGGAGTTTAAAATCTTTAAAATTTTCCTCAAGTAGAAGTTGTATGACCTGGGAGCTGGAGATTTCTTTAAGGTCAGTTGACCAGGATCCCCCACCATTAAATATTTACAAGGATTTAGAAATATTTCAGTGTTTCTGAAAAGATAATGTTGCCAACTTGGTGTTTTATTCTCGGCTTTGTGTTTTGCATTCAGTGAGAAATGGATCTTGTTGCTTCTTAGTTTATTATGTCACCATCTGAACCAGTTCAGATGTGTTGGAAGGTGGTGTCCAGGTTCATTATTTAGGTTCCAGTGCTTGCCTTCAGTGGGGAATGGCTGGAGCTCTGCCTCCTTTCAAACAGACACTCTCTATTTTTAAACACCGGTTTAAAGGTTTTTCCATCTCTGAAAGGCACTGGAGATTCGTTGCCTTTGCAGTTGGTACAAGACTATAAAAAGGACTCGACTGCAGCTGAAAATTGTCCCTGCAGAAATTGTTGTGTGCAATTCCAGCCTGTTTGTGCAGCCCAGAGATGGGATCTGGGTGTTTGAAGTGCTGATAACGCTGCCAAATACCATGTGCTGAGAGCATCAAGCTGCTGTCTTCTTCTCCCTGCTGTTTTCATCCCAAACCCCCGGGGGATAGTTTGAGGCACAACTCCGGAGTATTGATTGCTCAAAGAGAAAATGGATGTAGTTTTGTTTCATTTGCCATCTCAGGAAAATATTTCATTCCTCTGCTGACAATAACTGTCTTATTTTCCATGTGGAGCACTAACACTGTGTGATTTAAATTAAAGCAAAATTGCTGGTAGTGCTCAGAATCACTTGGAAGGAGAAGTGTGTGGGTACAAACAGTCACATGGAAGGTCAGGTTTAGATCAGAGATAAAAAAAGAGGTTTCTTATGAGGCTGTTAAAAAGCTGGCACAGGTTGCCCAGAGAAGCTGTGGCTGCCCCATCCCTGGAGGTGTCCAAGGCCAGGTTGGCTGACACTTGGAGCAACCTGGGATAGTGGGAGGGACCTTAGAGATCATCTATTCCACCCCTGCCGTGGGCAGGGACACCTTCCACCAGCCCAGGTTGCTCCAAGCCCCGTCCAGCCTGGCCTTGGACACTTCCAGGAATGGGGCAGCCACAGCTTGGGTAAAGATTGTCCCATAGTAGAACATCAAGTTAATCAAAAATCGCCTTTTTCACAACAGCACCTGTGTTGTAACAGTAGAAATTCTATAGCGAGTCTTGTTGAAGTCTAAATTGTGTTTAAGTTGGAAAATCACCTGCAGAGAATTCAGGGTGATCTCAGAACAGTTGTTTCCTAACAGGAAAATCGGGCGGTTTATTGTCATTTTCATAATGGGTTTTCTAGGGCGTATTTGGAAATTAAAGGTCTTTTTACTAAAGTGTTCTTGCTTTAAGTGCCCAGAAGATAACTCAGGAAATCTTGCATTTCAGCCTGAAAATCAGGAAATAGCTGCATAAGTGCAACCTTAAGGCTTTTGGGTGAGGTTTTGAAGCCTGATTTACGCACACCAGTTAATAACAGAAATTGTCTGTTATTTGCTAAAGAGAACAACAGCAATTGTAAGGCCTTTTTTCTCTTTTTAAGATAATCTGTTTTAGCTTTAAAATGAGCTTGAGAAGGGCAAGTGCCAAGGGAACAGCTGGAGGTGTGGGTTTGGGATGGCTGTTGGGAAAAGGTTCTTTTCCCAGAGGGTAGCTGGCACCGCACGGGCTCCCAGGGCAGCGTCCAGAGCTCCAGGAGCGTTTGGACAACGCCCTCAGGGACAGGGTGGGATTGCTGGGGTGCCTGTGCAGGGCCAGCAGTTGGGTGGGTGATCCTGGGGGTCCTTCCCAGGGTGTCTGACCAGGACCCTGTTGTTGTTGTTCTGTTCCCAGCCCAGCCTGGCCCACAGGCTCGTGAACCGCGAGGGCTCCGTGACGCAGCTCCCGCTCTACACCTCTCCTTCCCTGCCCAACATCACGCTAGGCCTGCCTGCCACCGGCCCTTCCAGCGTAAGTGGGGTTGGGAGGAGCCTCTGGAGGGACCCTTGTGCCGATTCCTCCCTTAACTCCCCCTGCCGTCGCGGTGCCTTCTCCTTGCAGGCGGGCTCGGCGCAGCAGGACGCGGAGAGGCTCGCCATCCCAGCCCTGCAGCAGCGCATCTCCCTTTTCCCTGGAACTCACCTCACCCCCTACCTGAGCACTACAACGTTGGAAAGGGACGGGGGAACCGCACATAACCCTCTCCTGCAACACATGGTCTTACTGGAACAGCCAACTGCACAAACTCCCCTAGTCACAGGTGAGAGCGCTCGGACACGGCTGGAAAGCAGGGAAGCGCCAGGAGTCTGGGGGGTTCTTGGAAAGGCAGCCTCCAGATACTGCATCATCTGTGCAGCTGGAACTCAGAACCTTTGGGATGTGTTTGCTGATCCGTCTGGGTAGCGGGGACTTTTCCCAAGTCCGAGGTTTCCCACCTCATCCTGAGGGAGGGGGAAGCTGCCTTGTCACTTTGGTGAGGTGAAAATAAATGGTATTATTCCATTAAAAGTGAAAACTGAGAAGTCTCTAGCTAGAGAGTTCCAACCACTGCAGATTGAGGTGGGGGCAAGCTGTGCCTTAGGATCCCTGTTTTCCACGGGTGGTTCCTGTTCCGTGTGGGAAGGGCACAAATTCCGGGTTCAAATGCTTCCTTCTCATCATTAATATAAATAGCAAATCCATGGCACATCAGCTGCCTTCCGGCAGATTGTATTTGTTTGGGTACGTCCCATTTTCGGGATTTAATTGCCGTGAGTCACTCCCAGGGTCGGATTTTCAGGATGAGGTACCTGTGGGAAGGCGTGTTCCTATAAATAGGCTCGATTCCAAGCAGTAATTCGCAGTGGGATGCGCTCCTGGTTTACAGCGGGTGACAGTGGGACAAAGGACGTCCTGCCAGCGTTAGTGACGTGTTCATTTGGATTGCTTCCCCTCCATTGCCAGTGGAAGTTGTTGGGAAGCGTGGATCGTGGGGGCTCATTTTACATCCAGATCCCGGGACTATAAGTGGGGTGTGATGAGCTCGGGATCATGTCCGTTTGGGAAGCTGTGGTGTTTGCTTCCCTCCCTTTGCAGCGCTTGCTTCCAAGCGTATTCCTGCTAGCCCGTGGTGTTTTCTGAGCGAGCACAGCGTGTTCCAAACCCACACTGGGGAGGAAGAGTCAGCACACAGCAGAGCCTCCAGCAGAAACACACGGTCCAGAGGCAGCAGCTGCAAGACAGAGAGCTCACACGTGCTCCCCGAAGCCCTGAGGCTGCCAAGCTGCTCTTGGGACTTGCAGATTCCTTGGCAGCAGGGGGGGGTTATTGGGATTCTGCTGATGGCCTTCAGCTCTGGAGGAAAACTCCTGTCAGCTGCAAAATTCGAGGCCAGGTTGGCCAGGAGTCTGTGAGCAAGGTGTCTCCTTGGAAAGCTTTCCCAGGGGACCTTGGTCATTCCCTTGGAGGAAGCTGGTATTCCAGAATACCCTGTGCAACCTCTCCTGTCTAACTGGAACTTCTGGGAGGAGGAACTGTGCTCTGAGGGAAAAGGAGCACACCTCTCCCAGTGATCCCTGTATCCATACCCAGATTAGTGTGTGTACACACTGACATTTGTAGAGACATGCAGTTATAAAATCAAATACACAGGAATCTTTTCAGAAGAGCAAAGAGTGGGAGAAACTCCTTAAACCTTCCCCCAGGAAAAGAGGCTTTTACATGAGTCAGATCCTTGCACGTAGGGCAGTTCTGAGAATCAGTGGGAAAAGGTCACATCCCGGGGCAGCAATGCCAAGGTGTTTCTGATCCGTGGCACTGAGCTGGCTGCAGACTGCTGGGCAGCTTCTCTTCTAAACCAGAGCCTGAAGGAAGCTGAGGGATTCTTTCCCAAGAGAGGGAGCAGCCTTACCCCCGTGGGGGAGGCAGCAGTTCCCAAGTTCCTGGTGATGCCTTTCTATCCCAGGGTGTAACAAGCAGGACTGAAGGTGTATCCTCAGCTCCTCCACCCTTGGGTTGGGCTCCCTACTGGGCTGTCTTCAGAAGAGTGGGAAGGTGTGTTTTCAGAGAGCTCAGCCCAAGCACAGCTAAGAAGATAATTCCTAAAGATGGGCCCTTCCCAGAGCTCGGATGGACATTTCACAGGGGGGTCATCAGTGACACCCAGATTGCCAAAGGTGGATGAGTAAATCTAGTTATCCCAAAACCTTTGGTTTGCCTGGAGTTACTGGCATGTATACACAGGACAGTGGTGGAAACAATTCCAGCTATTTGTCATCTTTCTTCCTGTGAAAATAATGAAGCCTGACAGCTCCTGTGTTCCCCAAATGCTCCTTTTCCCAGCACAGACCTGCTCAGGGGGTTATCACATGGATAAGTTTTCATCCCTGCTCATTTCCATGGTGTGGACTAGAGCACAGCCAAGGGTAGCCATGCCTTCCTTGATCATCATCCATCACCCTTCAGTGTATCCAGGGATAACTGCTGGATGCAGTGGGCTGCCAGCCTGGCTTGGACCTGGGATTACTGCCTAAACCAAGCTGTAGGATTTAAGCTTCAAACTGTGGAAGGGTCTGTGAGATATTGCTGGTTTTAGGAAATGAGGTGTTTCTATAGGGTCTCTGAGTACCCAAGCAAAGAACCCCAGCCAGCCAAAGCCTTTCTCCCCGCAGTGTTTGTTAATCAATGAATGAATGACCTGCTCCCTTTCGAGGCCGCTCCAGCTGTAAGTGGTGGCGGAGGTTTAACGTGATACGTCATTACTCAACAGTCGTTTTCTCCCTTCCTTTCCTTCTTCCTTTTGTTTCTCCTCTGCTGTTTTTTCCTCCATATTATCTTCAGACTGGTATCTTTCAGGACTGCCCCTCCACGCACAGCCCCTGGTTGGAGGCGAGCGGGTCTCCCCTTCCATCCACAAGCTGCGGCAGCACCGCCCGCTGGGGCGCACCCAGTCCGCGCCCCTGCCCCAGAACGCCCAGGCCCTGCAGCAGTTGGTGATCCAGCAGCAGCACCAGCAGTTCTTGGAGAAACACAAACAGCAATTCCAGCAGCAGCAGCTGCACATCAACAAGGTAAGGACGGATGTTTTCGGTGGCTTTTCTGCCCCCTCACGCGGCGCCAGGCACGGCTGCGCTGTTTCAGGGTCTGGTGCGGTTCGACCTCCTGCTTTCAGCCCAGGAGCTCTTGGAGACATCACAACACCAGGAAATACTTGTGAGTGAAGTTATTCAGATTTACTGAAAGGCTGAGAGACTCAGAGGTGCTCACCTGGAGAAGAGAAGGCTCATGGGGGAACTTAGAGATGCTTCCAGTGTCTGAAGGGGCTCCGAGAGGGACTGGGGACAAGGGATGGAGGGATAAGACAAGAGGGAATGGCTTCCACTGCCAGAAGGCAGGGATAGATGGGATGTTGGGAGGGAATTCCTGGCTGTGAGGGTGGTGAGGCCCTGGCATAGGTTGCCCAAAGAAGCTGTGATTGCCCCATCCCTGGAAGTGTCCAAGGCCAGCTTGGACGGGGCTTGGAGCAACCTGGGAAGGTTGGTGGAAGGTGTGGAATGAGATGATCTCTATGATCCCTTCCAACCCAAACCATTCTGTGATTTGCTCTGTTTTGAGACTTTCTAAGCACTCCTCTCGAGGAGCCCCATGGTGGCTTTCCTTAGGAAACCAGCAATTCCAGTAGCAGGTTTGAGGCTGGGGAGGACAGGCCCGTGGGATCGCTGCACTTTCATTTACGGAGCGGCTTTCTCCAAATATTTTCACCGTTCCAGCCCTGTGAGAAAACACAACTACCAAGAGTGGATTCCAACAGGAAAGAAGCCCCCCAGCCCACCCCCAGCCCGTTGTTTATGGGCTGGAGCCGGGGCAGGACGATTACACAAGGGTCTGACGTCAATGCTGTACTTCTGGAGCGCTGCCACGGCGTGCTGGGGGTGCCAGGCCTGGCCCTGGCTCAGCCCCTCACACGGGGAGCTGCTGCTGCTGCCCTAGAAACCCCCTCACCCCCCTCCTGACACCTCTCCAGGCGCGGGGTCATGGGATGTGGGGCGCTGGCTTGGGATTCTTTGTGCAGGAATAAGTGTCAGCTCCACGCTTTGAGGGTTTTCGAGGCTCTTCCCAAGCCCTGTTCGTGATGTAACCCCTGAGCTCACCCAGGCTTTGTCCTGGACCTCCCAGGAGCCCTGAATTCCAGCTCTGTTGGAGCTGGGATCTGTGGCATCTCTGTAGCAAAAGCAGGCAGAGGGGGGGTTAATTAAACTGATGGCAGAGGGGCCGTTTCCCTGGGTTTGATTTATAGAAGGAATGAGTTAAAATCACTTCAGTGCTAACGCTGTGTGCGTGTGGCAAATTTATCCTGTGGGATATTATCCAAGTGCTGACATGGAAAAAGACTTTTCCCAGATGCAGGGATATTTTAAGACCCTCGTGTGTAGGAGAGTTAAGGGCATGACTAAAAATAAAATAATAGGTTATTTAATTTTTAACAGAACTGATTGCATTAATTTATTTATTTCCTGATTTCCCATAAATAATACAAGGCTCTTCTCAGTTCCGTGTGATTTTTCTCAAACTTTGAGGTTTTGGCCTTAGCTGTCTACGGCAGATGAAGTTTTTGAGGAGATTTGCAGCCAAAACAAGTCTTGCTGTTTCCCAGAAGGCAACTAAGGAGAAATATGTTGATTTACTTAAAATTAATAGGAATAATCAACATGGGGATCTGGCTGTGAAGCCTTGACGTCTGAGGCTTTGGAGCAGTGACTTGGAATTGGACAAAGGAGGACAGGGAAGGAGGGGCAGAGGGGTGGGACAGAAGGAGGGACAAGACTTCATGGGGTGACTGGAGGGGACCTGAGGGTCCCTTCCCATGTGGGGTCCAAAGTCCCTGGTCTGCCCCTGTCAGGAGCAGGTTGGGGATCACCTGAGTGTAGCAAATGTGGTTCATCCCACTTAGAGCTGACCTGCTGAGAGTGACTGCTCTGCTCAGAGCAAGGGTCTGTCTGGAAAATGAGGGTCCCAGCCCTGCTCCTCTTGTTGTCACCCCAGGGGTGACATTTGCTTTAAAAAGAGGATAAACTCTCACACACCAAACCCCCATGGAATGCCCCAAAAATGAGGACAGGAGACACATGAGTGAATGCAAAGAGCATTATTCAAGTTGCCAGTTGATGTTTGAGACGTTAAATGAGATTCTGGATAAGATACTGAATTGCTTCTTTTTCAAATGTTTATCCCAGAGAAGCTGTGGCTGCCTCATCCCTGGAAGTGCCCAAGGCCAGGTTGGGCAGGGCAGCCTGGGATGGTGGGGGGTGTCTGTGCTCATGGCAGGGGGTGGAACTGCATAAGCTTTAAGGTCCTTCCCCCCCAAACCATTCTGGCATTCCATGATTTTGATTGACGTACTTAATAATTCCCACATTTTGCATGTTTAGTGTTCAAACCTAGAGGAGCCTAAACCAGGGGAGGTTTTAGGATTGATATTGGGGAAAATTTCTCCCTGGAAGGTTAGTCAAGCCCTGGCAGAGGCTACCCAGGGCAGTGGGGACTCCTGTCCCCATCCCTGGAGGTGTGGACATGGACAGAAGTGAGACCACCCTCTCTCCACGAGGTTTGGACTCTTGGACGTGTCTGACAGGTGAAATGGGCTTTTGGTGTGTTGTCAGGTGATCTCCGAGCTCCTGCTCCCCCCAGAGAGCCCTGGATGAGCTGTGTGGAAATGGGATGGTTTATCCTCAGCTTCTGAGGTGTGTGGGGTTGTTTCCAGCCCCCAGCCTGTACCTGTTGAGCTTTGAGGCCCCTCCCAACCCAGACCATCCTGTGAGTCTGTGATTTTTTTTTTTTTTGGTGGGGATTCTCCATCAGACTTTGGTGAGCAACTGGCTGTTTCTAACCTGTTCAGTAGCACCTTCCAAGTCTTCAGTGTCCCCCTGCAAAGGAGGAATAAATGTGGATCACTGGGCACAGTGGTACTCGGTCAAAAGTTGCACTGGATCATGCTGGAGGTCTTTCCCAACCTTAACAGTTCTGTCATTCTGTTTCTCATATCTAGCAGGCAAAGCTAATGCCAGAGGAGATTTTACCAGCCAAGAAATGAAGCTGTTTTTTTTTTACCTGTCACGAAGAATTCCACAGAATGAGGAAGAATTCTTTGCTTTTCCTTGTGTTTGTGACCTGACATTGCTGTGCATTTTTAAACATTTCTGGGTTTTTTTGTATTTCAAAGATGTAGAGAAGAAATCTCACCAGCTGCCTGGAGCCTTTCAGAAATGCTTGTGAGCAGAGATGTTTCATTTGTTCTGTAGGGAGCTCGTTGCCTGCCCAAGACTGGAGGGGCAGTGTCTTTAACAGGGTTTGTGGTGGCAGTAGGTGACAGCCAGAGGCCAGCTGGGTATGAACAGAGAGGAGTAACCTCGTTGCAGAGGAAGCCAGAGAGCTGATTAAGGGATGGAGGAGTTATTTATGGTGCACTGTGTTCACTATTTCAGACATATTTAGGAGCATTCTCAAAGCCCCCCATATATTCAGCCCCTTGCACTTTTGTTACCCTGAATTTTAAATTGCATAAAATTGCCCAAATGGAAGATTTTTAGGGAGTTTTAGCAGGCCTGGGATGCAGATACTCATGTTTTATATGGAATGTGTTCATAGCAGTGTTTTCTCTGCAAAACTGCCCTTCAAAACAGGGTTGCAGTGGCTTGAACCGATGACAGGCCAAGAGATTTCCCTTTGCATTAGGAGAGCAAAGGGAATGCTTGAAGTGTCCTTGGCATGGGCCACTTGGTCTTTCAACCTTCATTGTGGTTTTCATTTAATTCTTCCATTTTCAAGGAGTAGGAATAATTTAAAACTTCTCAGGAATGACACTGCCTCTTGTTCCCGTTAGCTGTGACAGTGACATCGTAAGTTCTTTTCCCAGCAATTACCTCCTGCAGTTCACAGGTTCAGAAGGTATTAAGTTCAAAGCTTGAGACCTTCGATCCAAGCAGAAAAAAAAAACACAACAAGCAGCAGATGGTTTATGGTGATTTAATTAACTTTAAAAGGGATTATATTCATCAAGCCTAAGAGAGCTTAAAGAAAATGGATGGAAGAACCTTTAGCTTAACCTGGTTTATTCAATGTGTAATATAAGGAATGAAACTGGGAGGGCAGGGGGGGAAACCTCCCAAAAATCCTTGGGAGGTTTGGATCACTGAGTGCAATGTCCCTGCTCCAGCAGTTCCCAAGAACACCTTTGACTGGCTTTGGAGTATCTCCAAGGATGGAGCCTCCAGAACCTCTATGAACAACCAGTTCAAGTGTTTGACCACCCTCACAGGAAAAAATACATTTCCTTGTGTTCAGAAAGAATTCCATAGGTTTGGGTTTGTGCCCATGGCCTCTTGTCCCATCACCTGGGAGCACAACCTGTCAGGGTCCCGTGGACTTAAGCATATCCAGGTTTTCTTAAGTGTTGCCTAAACCTGGAGGTTCTTCCACCAAGGGTGAGTCTTCCTTGCTCCAGACTTTCCCTCTGGTCTCAGGGTCCTGGGATTCCTGAAGGATGGCCTTACTGGTAAGAAAGGTATTAAGTGCCATGGCCCTTTTCCATGTGATGTGGATTTCCCTGGTGTTCCTCTCTTCCTTCCTGATGCCCTTCATGTCCTTTGCCAGATGCAGCTCCAGGTTGGCTTTGGCTTTCTTAGCCCCAGGGGCTGGAGTTCTCACTGCTTGGGAAGGATCTTTCTTGGTCCTGTAGAATCCTTGAGTATCTTCCAGCTCTCCTGAACCCCTCTGATCTCCAGGGCTGCACCTGCTTCCAGGCAGATCCCTGAAGAGGGCCAAGTCTGCTCTCCTGAAATCCTGCCCTGTGTTCTGTTTCCTCCTCTCCAGATCTTCAGCTCCACCATCCACGTGCTCCATCCCCACATGAAAAGCACTCCCCCTGCCCTGGGCAGCCTGATCCAGTGCCTGAGCAACCTTTCCCTGGAGAAATGCTCCCCATATCCAATCTAAGCGTGCCCTGGCACAGCTTGAGGCCATGTCCTCTTGTGTTAGGTGGGAGAAGAGCCCAGTCCCCACCTGGCTCCACCCTCCTGTCCGAGCTGTGAGGACTCCCCTTGGTCTGTCCACTTCATCTGGCATTTAAGCTCCTGACTAACTCCAGATGCACACCAAGACACACAGCTCCGTGCATTCCTGCCCCTCTTCCTTGCTTGACGTATATGACAGAGCCTTTCTTCCTAAATTTGGGGGGGGAAAGGCTTAGTTTCAGGTTTGATCCACTGCCCTTCAAAGAGCAAGTAACTCCTCCTGCATGTGTTCAATAACCGGGTTCTGATTTAGCTTTATTAGATTTAAAATCAATATTGCCTTCCATCCCAATGACCTAATCCTCATTAAACCTTGCCCTGACAGCTTTCAAAGTGCAGCAGTTTCTTTATGAGCCTGTGAAACGGGGGCAGCCCGAGAGAGAGGAAATGGATTGGTTTTCCTATGCCAGAGTTAAAAACAGGTCACGTTTTGGGGTTGGTTTTTTTTTTTATTCCAAATAAAAATTACAAGCAGTCTGAGGTGAAGAACTGTGAATTTTATCTTGCCAATGAACTTACAAAGAGTCTGAGTGAATTATAGTGAAAATTAAACTGTTCCTTTTGGTTTAGGAGCTGCTTTTGGAGAAGTTTGCTGTGTCTAGTTAGGAAGGTCTGGTTAGAACCCGGGGTTTGCTCTAAGCTGAACGTCCTGAGCTTCCTCGTAACCAGCTCCATGACAGTGCAAGTTCTCCAGGAATCTTTTTTCCAGCCTCGCAGATAAAATTCAGGGAGTGATTCAAGGTGATGTTGAGCAAACAAGCAGCAAAAACCCTCTTGGAGGGGTTTGTGTCTCTTGCATTCTTTCAGGATTTAATTGCCAAACATCCTGACGGTTGTTATGAGGGGATGTGAATGGAGTGGGCACAAGAGGCTCTTATTTCTTCAGAGGGAAAACTAAGTGGAAAATAAGGGGGTATCATTACCTGGGACACGGGATTGCAGAGCTCTGAATGCCAAGGTCGCCCTGACCTTTCCCTGGAGCGCCCGTTTCGTAAGGCAAAGGCCATAATTCACAACTGCTCTTTTCAGGAGGCTGGGGAACAGAGTGAACTTTACCTGGGACGAGTCTGAGAGTTCCTCTGTCGGTGTGTGTGCTTTCAGATCATATCCAAGCCCACCGAGCCCGCTCGGCAGCACGAGAGCCACCCCGAGGAGACGGAGGAGGAGCTGCGGGAGCACCAGGCCCTGCTGGAGGAGCCCTACGGGGACCGGCCCGCGGGCCAGAAGGAGGCCCCGGCGCTGGCCAGCGTGGTGCAGGTGAAGCAGGAACCCATCGAGAGCGACGAGGAGGAGGCAGAGCCCCAGCAGGAGCTGGAGCCCGGGCAGAGGCAGGCGGAGCAGGAGCTGCTCTTCCGTCAGGTGAGCACCCCAAACACCACGTTGGTCCTTGTTGGTTGGGTCTTGGCTGTCACCTTGTGCTGCTCAAAGGGGGAGAGTCTAAGGGGAGCCAGCTCGTGGCTGTGCATAGAATCCTGAGGTGAAATCAGGTGATTCCTTCCCTGGAATCGGCTCTCAAGTCCCAGGGAGGAGAATCTGGATGATCTGGAACACACAGCGTGTTTACAGCCACTGAGTCACTTCTAGGGTCGTTTCTTTGGGAAGACAAAGTGTATCTTAACATTTCTGAACTGCTTTCGGTAGAAATGGAATCCTACTAGGAGAGGATTTTGTTTTGGTTTTATGTTTTAAAGCAAATTAGAGCAGGGGATGAGGTGCAATGGAGGGTGTTCCTTCTGCAGAATTGGAGATCCTGGAGCCTCCAGCCAGGATCCCTTTTGAGGGCAAGCACTGGAGGTCTGTGGATTGCAGGTGATAAATCTGATCACAAGGTACCAGAGCTGATCCATGTCCCCCAGGAATGTCACTGGGATGTTGCTCAGACACTACATTTGCCCAGAGAAGCTGCGGCTGCCCCATCCCTGGAAGTGTCCAAGGCCAGGTTGGAGCCACCTGGGCTGGTGGAAGGTGTCCCTGCCCATGGCAGGGGCTGGCACTGGAGGAGCTTTGAGGTCCTTCCAATCCAAACCGTTCTGGGATTCTGTAATTCTGTGTTGCTAACAATGGACCACAGTGATCCCATTCCTCTGAAAGTGCAGCCTTAATCCTGAATCCATGCCTGGCTCGGCTCTAGAAACTCACATCTTCATTTACTGCATGCAAGAGAAAGGAGTCCAAGCCTCCAAACCTTCAAAATCCTGAAAGACCCTTTTAGGAAGGCACTTTCAGCAGCTCCCTGCTTCTCTTCCCCACAGCAAGCCCTTCTCCTGGAGCAGCAGCGGATCCACCAGCTGAGGAACTACCAGGCGTCGCTGGAGGCAGCTGGAATGCCCGTGTCCTTCGGGGGACACCGGCCCCTGTCCCGGGCACAGTCCTCTCCAGCCTCAGCCACCTTCCCAATGTCCGTGCAGGAGCCCCCCACTAAGCCAAGGTTCACTACAGGTGAGGCTCTGGGGGCTGCTTGGGCTGTGGCTCTGGTTGGCCTTGGGCTGGGCTTTGTTTGCAAGGGCACGGAGGGGCAGGACAAGAGGGAATGTCTTTACACTGAGAGGAGGGTTAAGTGGGGTGTTAGGCAGGAACTGTTCCCTGGCAGGCCCTGGCACAGGTTGCCCAGAGAAGCTGTGGATGCCCCTGGATCCCTGGAAGTGTCCAAGACCAGGTTGGAGCAACCTGGGATAGTGGGAGGTGTCCCTGTCCATGGCAGGGGAGGTGGAACTGGATGATCTGAAAGGTCCCTTCCAACCCAAAACACTCTGGAATTTTATGATCCAAGGTTAAAAACAGAGACTAATTCTCCCTGAATCCTGACAAACAACTTTTCCCCCTCAAATCCTTCCTGTCTCTTCAGTGCCCTTAGCAACAGCTGAAAGGGAATTTTCTGTGCAACTCTCCAAGCCCTGTGTTGGGTGATGAGGGATATTTTGGAGTCCGCCTTCTTCCCCAAATGTCACAGGCTCTATTTTGTGAATGAACAATTTGCAGCGTGCTGAGTGCCTTGGGAAAAGGGAAGGAGGGGAATAAATCCCAGAACATCCAAATGGGAGCGACTCGTGATTTTGTTTGCCTTCCCCTCATGCCTTTATTCCGTTTTTAACCCACACTTCTTGCATCACTCGGTGCTGTGAGTCGGGTTTATTTTCAGGCCCTGGTGCTGTAGTAATAGATGATGTTCAGGATGACTTTTCCTCAGCTGCAGGGTGGGAGGTGTGTGCTGTCAGCCCTGGAAAAACCCAAGGAATGGCTCATTTTGGTGAATCGGCCCTTTAATCTCTATTTGTTGTTAACACTGAACCTCTGAATTGCAGCAGAACTGCACTCCCAGTTCTGCCCAGATGAAGAGATCTTGGCTTTTGCCAGGGATGCAACAAGTAGTCCCGTGGCTCAGGGTCAGAGCACATGAAACTTGAGCTTCTAACCCACTTAACCCCAAACCTTGGAGCTTTAAAAACGAGGAAGCCTGGCCCTGCTTGAAGAGATTATTCACTGCCTCCAAACTTCATTTCAAAGCACAGGTTAACAGGAAGAATGCAGATGTGAGGTCTGGGCTGCCTGGAAAAGGTGCTGTTCCAGTGTTAGGATTTCTTTTCCTTGGAGGCAGGGTTTAAAACAATAAAGAAAAGCTCGAATATCCCATTGCTTTTATGTAGTGGGGTGATATGAAGGATGCTTAGCATGGTTCACCTGGAAAATGCCCTTTTCATGGCATTTATCCAGGTTAAGACTCCAAGGGCTTAATTTTTCCAGTGCTTTCCATCTCTGCATTTATGGAGGAGGGAAAACACAATAAAACACTGTCCAGGGGGGAAGTGTTGGGCATTCCCTGGCACTAAGAAAGGTGAGAAGCATAAAGGTGAGACCTCTGTACCAGCCCTATAACTGTGGTCCCTCATGAAAGGTGAGGGACTGGTTTCATGTCCCATCACTGCTTAAGGCTGGACTCAGTGAGGGCTTTTCCAGCCTTGTAATTCTGGGATTGTGTAACAGAGGCAGGGAGAAAGGGTCCAATGCTATGGGCGTGGAGGGAGGGAGAAGGAGAGGAGAGGAATTTCAGCTGCTTGAGCCCATGTGTGAGTGAAATTGCCTCTTGTTTTCCTGGAGTTGTCCACAGTGTGTCGGAGAGCGTGGGCTTGGAGGTGGCTGCTGAAGCTTAATCATTGGGATTGAGCCACTCTTTGAAAGGCAGGAAATTAAAGTCTTGGGTATTTTTCAAAGTGCTCAAGTGCATCAGGCTGCTTTTTCCCTAGGAAAATCCATCTGGTTGATAAGTGGCTGCTTTGGAGACTGATCCTAACGGGATTATGTGCTTTGGATTGCAGAGGAATGAGGGCTGGAATTGGTGTGATCATGTGGGGAGAGGGCTGGAAGAACCAAACCTCATTAATGGCCCTAATTAAGCCAACCAGCATCACTCTGCACACCACTGTGGCTCTTAAGAGATCAGTTACTGTCCAACAGGCAAAGGAATTGCTCATCCCTTTCGTGTTTGGGATATTATATAGAAATAATACAGTAATCTAAAGTTTTCCCTGAACAGAGTCACTCCAGACAGCTGGAAACTCGGGGGGTTGGGATATTTTATTTTCCTGTCTCTCTCGGTGACAACACCTGAGACTTCAAAGGTACAGGGGAAAGAACCCATAATACAGCTCTCAAACATGATGTCCATTACTCCACATCAAAGTGAAAGCTGTGCCCTTCCTGACTCCTCTGAGCAATCAGTTTGATGTCCCAGAGCATGACATTTAATTTTCCTTCCTCCCAGAAAGCCAGTCCTTGAACTTGCCCTCTCCAGATCAAGCAGCCCCGTGACTTTAATGAATCCTTGTGCCTGCCCTGTTCTACACACTTGAATAAGGATCCTCAGGTTGGGCCATTAATTTGCATAGCTCCAATTATCCACTCTCTGATCTCCTGTAAAAATGGGTCCACAAATTATTCTGATGTTCTGCATTAAAGGGTTTTTCCTTTCTAATGGAGGCATTTATTCTCTCCTGTGCAGAGCAATATAATTATCTGAACCTCAAATCATATGTTTGTTCTGCCAAGAAAAGCCAGTTGGTTTTGCTTTAGTGCTGACCTTTAAAAATGATTGTTCTTGTGTCTGAACAGTCTTGCTTCCAGCACCACTTAATTTAACTTGTAACGGCCGATGGAGTTCTGTATTTTAAACTTAAATTACCAAGATTACCTTAGTGTGTGTGTGTGTGTGTGTGTATGTGTTCAGCTGAGTGTCCCCAACCACAGGAAGGAACTGGGAACAGCTCCTGTCTTTCCAGTGGTTGGTTTCTAGGAAAGAGGAATGCTGAGTGACGTGTGATCAGAGCCAGGAAGAGCTTCACGGAGACACTGCTGTTGTCATGGAACCCTTGGGAAAGGACAAACTGTTGATCCACCAAATACTGTAAAGGCCAGGTTTGTGGTGGGATAGAATCCCAGAATGGTTTGGGTTGGGAGGGACCTTAAAGCTCATCCCATCCCATCCTCCTGTCATGGGCAGGGACACCTTCCACCAGCCCAGGTTGCTCCAAGCCCCGTCCAGCCTGGCCTTGGACACTTCCAGGGACAGAGCAGCCACAGATGCTCCATGAAAGCTGTGCCAGGGCCTCCCCACTCCCCAACCAAGAATTCCTGCCCAATATCCCATCTAAAAATCTCTTTTAGTTTGAGACCTTGCACTAGTTTAAATAAACTCAGACTGGGGTGAAAGCTTCTCCTCAGGTGAATTCAGGGCTTGCCTTGGCCCAACAGCTGGTTGGGGTGTTTGATGCTGTGGATCAAACATAGGAGACCTCAACAGAGCTTTGCAGCAAGACCTTCTTTCTTCAGTGACCTTTGGCTGACCCAGAGCCAGCCAATCCCCCAGGGCTCTGTTCTTTCCCTGGAACTGAACCTGGGTTGTGTTTTGTGGGCTGTTTTTTCCCTTTGCTCTCCCTCACCTCCAGCAAAGCGAGGAGCTGCCAGGTCCTTGCCCTGAGGCTGGATACCAGCAAGTGTCAGGCTTTGCTCAGGGGGAGAAGCCAAATTCTTCAGTGGCAGAACATGCCCACACTCAGTCAGGAGGTGGGATTGCAGCTGGAGCCAAGCTTGGGAATGTGCAGGAGCGTTGGGAACGTGCAGGAGCAGGGCCCTCGGCTCCGGGCTGTGTGTCTGGGGCTGTTCTCAGGGTCGGGTTCCTCACAAGCCCCTTTGAACTCCCTGTGCTTGCCAATGGTGCTGTTTCTCCAGCCTTGAACTGGGAATGGGGAAGCCAGTGTAGGTGTGCTCATCTGGGATTTCCCAGCAGGGATACCAGCCAAAGCACATCCTGCAACACCTGGATCTGGGACCAGCTCCTGCCTTTGCTGCCTTCAGAGGCTTTGGGTTCTCAAGACTTGATTTCACAGAAATCATAGAAAACCCTGGGTGGGAAGGGACCTGAAAGCCCATCTGGTTTTTACTCCCTGCCCGGGTTGCTCCAGCCTGGCCTTGGACACTTCCAGGGGATGGAGCAGCCACAGCTTCTCTGGAAAGATCTATTCCAGTGCCTTACCATCCTCACAGGAAAGGTTCCTTCCCAGTATCCCATCTAACCTGTGGCAGTGGGAAGCCATTCCCCCTTGTCCTGTCCCTCCATTCCTTGTCCCCAGTCCCTCTCCAGCTCTCCTGGAGCCCCTTTAGGCTCTGGAAGGGGCTCTCAGGTCTCCCTGGAGGCTCTCCCAGTCTGGCTCCAGAGCAGAGGGGCTCCAGCCCTCGGATCAACTTTATCCTGTACTTTCAGACAGATATTCCTTGCAAGAAACCTTGTTCTTGGGGGGAAAAGAAACCCCAAACCTACCCTTTCTATTCTGTTCTCTGGACCTTCTGGCTGAAGGGAAGGGTGGATTTAAACCTTTGACTGCGCGTCTCTTGCTTGAGAGAAAAAATTACAGGTCATTTGTCCCTGGGGTGTGGCTGGGGAGGACCTGCTGTTTTCCTCCAGCAGAACATTGGCTTTGGAATCTCAGCTCTCCTTCCAAAACTGGACCCAGGCAACTGTGGAGCATGAATCAAAGTTGTCATGCCATAAATCCTTGGGATTTAGCTGCCTGACTCCGTCACTGAGATGAAACAACACTGCTAAATCCTTCATATCGTGCTGAATAACGACGCCCAAGTGGGTGCTAATGGCCCTAATTAGCATGTTGTCAAATAACGGTGATGCAGCGACTTCAGCACGAGCTGTTCTATGAAACATGGGCCTGCCAACCACTCACTCCTTCTGCTTTTCAGTCCCAAGCCCTGGAGTCATTTCAGCAGCAAGTCCCTCCTCTCCTAAAATGCGGTTCCTTGGCTGGCTGAAGTGATGCTTTGGGGTGCCAGCTCCTGCCACTCCCACGCCTCCAGGTGCTGGTGCTGGTTCCTTTGCCACATCCATTGAGGATTCCCGGAGCAAGGCACGGTTGCAGGTTTGGTGCCGTCTCAAAGCAGCACCTTGGATTTTCACTCCTTGGAGCTCCATGGCTTGGAGCCCAACACCCAGTTTTGCTCTAGAGCTGTTCCGTGGAATATGAAGCACAAAACGCGCTTTATCCCCCCCAGAAATCTGGCGAATTTGTTTGGGTTTTTTGGGGGTTTTTTTAACCGAGAGCAATTTTGGCCCCTCTGTCCCAGGCCTTGTGTATGACACCTTGATGCTGAAGCACCAGTGTACCTGTGGAAACACCAACAGCCACCCCGAGCACGCGGGCAGGATCCAGAGCATCTGGTCCAGGCTGCAGGAGACGGGGCTGCGGGGCAAGTGTGAGGTAGGAAAAACACAGCAAAGGGGGTGTGGAGGGGTCAGAATTATTGTTATATTATCATTATGTAATTCTATTCATATATTACATGCTGTATAATATATGGCATATTAATTATATTGATGTTATCGATATTGTTAATTACAATTCATAATATGCGCTATACAATATATATTAATTATATTTATAATATTGATATTGTTAATTCTATTCATTAATATTAATTACATTGATGTATTATATGTCATACTTAAAATATTTACAGTATATATTATAATATGTAATGTATTGAATATATATTATATATGAGATATAGAATATATAAGTATATTACGTTTATTATTAAATTGTATTACCACATTATATGCTATATAATACCTTGTACCGTGTATTATATAATGATAATATTTTAATTTTTACTAATTAATATTAAATAACTATATTATATATGCTATATAAAATATATGATGTGTAGTGTATGATATAAATATATAATATAGTATATAGAATATATGTTGTATATGAAAAATCCATTCCAGTTCCTCACCACCCTTACATGGAAGGATTGAGTATATAAATATATTGATGTTATTATTATATTATTATATGCATTTATTATTAAATTACATTATATGTTATTATTATAACCATTATGTAATTATATTAATATATGAATATATGCTAGATAACACATAACAAATTAATTATATTTATATTATTGGTATTATTAATTACTATTCATTAATATTAATTATATTATAATATTAATTATATAATTATTAGATGTGAAATTTTAAATACATCATATACAGTATATGGTATGAATATAATATTTAATATAATATATAGAATATATATTATATATTAAATATAATATATAAATCTATTCATTTTATTATTATTAATTGATATTACCATATTATATGCTTTATAATACATTGTACAATATATGTAATTATATTAATATTTTTATTATTATTATAATATTAAATAACTATATTATATATGCTATATAAAACATGTGATGTGTAGTGTATGATATAAATATATAATATAGTATATAGAATATATGTTGTATATGAAAAATCCATTCCAGTTCCTCACCACCCTTACATGGAAGGATTGAGTATATAAATATATTGATGTTATTATTATATTATTATATGCATTTATTATTAAATTACATTATATGTTATTATTATAACCATTATGTAATTATATTAATATATGAATATATGCTAGATAACACATAACAAATTAATTATATTTATATTATTGGTATTATTAATTACTATTCATTAATATTAATTATATTATAATATTAATTATATAATTATTAGATGTGAAATTTTAAATACATCATATACAGTATATGGTATGAATATAATATTTAATATAATATATAGAATATATATTATATATTAAATATAATATATAAATCTATTCATTTTATTATTATTAATTGATATTACCATATGATATGCTATATAATACATTGTACAATATATGTAATTATATTAATATTCTTTATTATTATTTATTAATTATATTTCTATATTGAATGTTATATATAAAATATATTATATATAGTGTATATTATAAATATAACAATATATAAAATATATTCGATTTGAAATATAACATTATATATCTATTATTATTATTATTATTATTATTATTATTATTATTATTATTTGGTATTTGACATAGCAGTGCTGATAACTAGGGCTGTTCATGTGTGTTCATCAGTTCCCAAGCCCCTGCGGGGCCGGAGCCCGCAGGATAAACAGTTGCAGCAGCAGCTGCGTAGGGAAATGTCGGAGCCATCGGCTCAGCTTCCACGCGGTGGCAGCATTGCCACTGCCTGCGTTTCCCTGGCCCCACCTCACTCCCCCCTTCCAAACCTGTTTCTGTCGGTGGATGCCCATTTAACTGAATTTTGGCATTATTTGGGAACAAAAAACCCGCGAAGCCAAGTGCCCCCTGCTGTCCTGCTGCAGGAGCTCACTGTGCTCTGGTCACTGAAATGGGTGTTAGATATTCTCTGATGTACAAATTCCTCACTGTACAATCTGTTATTTGCCTTAATTTCCTGATAATTTCCCACAGTAAGAATTTTTTCCCTTGATTTTCCTGGTTAATTTGGCACTTCGTGTTGCTTTTGGAGCTGTTGTTGATGTTCCCCTGCTTTCCAGCTGTGTTTCCCTTCTGACCATTGCTGATGTTCAGCCTCTTCTGTTAGTTCAGACTCTTCCCAAAAATGAGAAATACTTGATAATGAGGTTCCTGCCTTAATTCCCTGCTGGTTTTCTCCAGGGTCTGCCCTTACATTTCAGGATCCATTTTCTTGTCTCTCTGGTTACGTTTGCTTTATCCCCACCATCTCCTGCCCACGCCTGTCTGAAAGTTTCCTTCTTTATCATAACTTTTCTCTTGGGCTTGATGGGCACAACCTTTCCCTGTTTCTCCAGCTCCTTCCCACCTCCACAATTCCCTCAAATAAAAAAGACAGGCCAAGTTGGACGGGGCTTGGAGCAGCCTGGTGTAGTGGAAGGTGTCCCTGCCTGGGTGGTGGAACAAGATGAGTTTTCAGGTCCCTTCCAATGCCAGCCACTCTGGGATTCCATGATTTTGTAGTTTAATCCATTTCTTACGACTCGTATTTGTACAAGGACAGTTGGAACTTTGATGTTTCCTCATCCTGACATTTCCCTTTCCTTCCTGAACAGCCCTTTGCTGTGGTCAGGGGGGTGGTTTGATGCTGTTGGTTGCAAGGAGTTGCTCAACACAGATGAAAACCACAGGAGCCTGCGTAGTAACTAATGATTTACACACTGTGGAGGATCAAACAAGACTCCACTGGATTCCTGTCCTCTTCCAGAAGGAGTTTTACGGCTCATTTCCCACACAACTAAACCCCCACTCTGCTCTCTCATGCAGCAGTTCTGGGTGCCTGTCCCCTGGAGCGTCCCTGTGGTGTTTCTGTCCCACACCTGCCCCGAGCCGAAGGTCTCACAGATAAATATTTATGGCAGTCGTGCAAACAAGTGTTGGCTTTGAAATTCCAGACACACAGACTGAGGGAAAACCTGTTTCCATCAGGCAGCTGAGGGGCTCCCAAACACCCCTGCCAAGTGCTGAGATCCTGCCACCGTTTCTGGACTCAATGCCCCTCGTGGGTCCCTTCCAGCTCAGGATGTTCTGTGATCCCTCTCAGAGTCAAGAGAAGTGATCCAGAAGGGGAACAAATCAGAAACATCCCAGAATGGTTTGGCTTGGAAGGGACCTTAAAGCTCCTCTGGTTCTGGGCTCCACCTGAGGGATGAGTAGATTTGCTGCGGTGCCTCCAGCCCAACCCACCCCCTCCTGCGAGAAAACAACCTTGCAACACATTGAACCTGGACGGATTTCCAACGTGAGCTTTGGAGCAGAAAGGTTGTAACTGACCCTTGATTGCTCAAAGGTTCACTTTGGAAATCGTGTTTGGGAGAAATTTTTAGGTTAATAATCGTGGTAGAGATGCTGGAGAGTGGTTTGGAGGGACATTTTCACCAGAGAATCATTGTCTAGTGGCTTATAAATCCGGAATATTCATTAACCAAGCAGTACCTTTGTTGTTTAGCAAATGCTCTTTTAAAAACAGAAATGACTCTGTACGTCCAGCTGGTGTTTTGAGTAAGAGATTAAACCAAAATCTGAATTTTTCTGGGTAAGAACCCATTGTAGTGTTTGGCTCTCTGTCTTTATGATTTGCTAAGGAAAAAGAAAGGCATTTCAGTGAGAGTTAAGCAGCTCCTCAGTGATTTCCTCACCCTTTTCTTTGCTCTTGCAGTGCATCCGTGGAAGGAAAGCGACTCTGGAAGAGCTGCAGACGGTTCACTCGGAAGCCCACACGCTGCTCTACGGCACAAACCCTCTGAACAGGCAGAAACTGGACAGCAAGAAGCTTCTAGGTATCATTCCCTGCTGGAAAATTCCCCTTCCTGACCCCTGGCACTCACACTGCAATCCTCATCCCTGGCTTAGCAGCGTGAAGGGTGGGATGTTGGGGCTCCCTCCGTCCTTAGCCCTGTGCAGTTCCCAGGAGGATTGTTCCCACCTGCATGTACTGGATACACCTCCCTCTTTTCAGGTAGATCCCTAAATAGCTAAAACCTCCTTTCCTTGATGTCTTCAGAACTTGAAAGGAGGTTTCCCTGAGGAGGGAAGATAATTCAGGCAGTTTATTTTATCCTGTGTGTTAGGAAGTTATCCATGGCTTGGGAGGAACTGGAATACCCTCCTAAGGATGTGGATCTGCAGCCCCAAACCAGCTGCACAGGCATCAACAAATAGCTGTGAGGTTTGTGTGGATAATCTGCAAGAGAGATACAGGGGCCTCTTAGCCTTAGATTTGTTTAATTTGGACTAATATTGTTTATCCCTTTCTCTGGAGTCTGGATCTTCCTGAAACAGACCCTCAGCTGTTGGAAAATATAGATTTTTTTTTCCTCAGCAAAAATCCTAAGGGACTGATACTGAGATAACCAAGCCCCCCAGGCACCAAACCACGTGGATTTTAGCACCTCAGCTCTCTGTAGACACCATCACCCCCCTTTCCCTGGGGCCTGTTTGCAGCCCCTGTTTGCAGGTGAGAGGCTGGAGGGGCAATTTGGGAACTTCTCACGTGGGGACCAGCAAAAAAAAAAAAAAAGACATTTCTGGGACCTTGACATTGAGAAAGTTTATTCTGGGATTAGCCTGGCTTTGGATGATATAAAAAGAGGATTAACTCCGTGACCTGCATGATGTCACAGCAAAGGAGCTGGAAAGATTTTTGCTCAGTGTGCTCAGTGTGTCCATGAGATCCCCAAAGAGGGAAACCAGTTGATTAAACAGGCAATTAGCACTTTTATAGCTCACTTCCCACCTCTTTAAACCCAGAGAACCCAAAAGTAGACCCCTTCAGCTGAATGATGCTCAGTTAGTGTGTAACCTCTGAAGGATTTCTGGTGTTGTATCCTTGGGAGTGGCAAAGTGTGTAAGTCTTCCTTGGTAGGTCCAGGAAGAACCTCTTGAGATACTTTTCCACTCTGTGACTCTTTGCACAGTCTGTATCAGTGGTTCCACAGTTTATTTGGATAGTGCTGGATTTGGGGACGCTCCCAATTGCTGAATCATTCCTTAGAGAACCCAAGAGAGGAACAACTCTTGCTCTGCCTGGGAGCCCTCCTGTAGTTCTGCTCTGTGTCCCCCGTGGCTTTAACCCCTCATTTTAAAATGTCTGTGGAGATCAAAGTTATTCCTGTAGTGAAAGGAAATCATTCCAACACCTGAGGGCATTCCAGAACAAAATGTTGTCTCTCTGGGTGCAAAGAAGAGCGAGCTGTCAGAGAACTGAGGAAGATCCCCAAGAATCTCCAGTAGGAAGGGCTGTCCAGTAGCTCTTAGCTGAGCTTAAACCTGGTCTCCTAAACCCACTTGGCACCCTTTTAGCCTTGAGCTGCTGGCAGTGGGACTGGCTGCCAGCTTGCATGACCATCTTCTTTCTTTCCTTGTTGGATTCCACAGGGATGGACCTGAGCAGGGATAACAGGGAAAACCTGGGAGTGTGGAGGTGAACACTCCATAACAGCCCCTCCCTCAGCCATCCTTCCTGCTGAGAGCTTAAAAGGCTTTGAAATGTCCAAACCAGCTCTGTGGGGTTCTTTTAAACCCACTGGAGGGTAGATTAGGGCAGGTTTGAAGGCTGAGAGCAAAGCTCTGTGTGAGGCTTAAGCGTGCACATGGGGTCTGTTAGAGCTCAGTGCCTTGGCACGTGTGGGGTGACTGTAAACTCAGGGCCTTTGATATGTCTGGGAGGAAGAAAAAAGCACGAGAAGCCTCAGCCTGAAAGGGAGGAGCTTGGGAAGCTGGGGGATGGAAAGGCGGGATGGTTCTTGTTACGCTTCTGCAGATGATAAGGGGGAAGTGCCTTCATGGAATCAGAGAGTCCCACGATGGTTGGGGTTGGAGGGACCTTAAAGAACATCTCATTCCACGCCCTGCCATGGGCAGGGGCACCTTCCACTAGACCAGGCTTCTCCAAGTCCTGTCCAACCTGGCCTCGGACACTCCCACCTTCTCTGGGCAACCTGTGCCAGGACCTCCCCACCCTCCCAGGGAAGGATTTAATCCTAATATCCCACCTAACCTACTCCCTTCCAGTTTAAAACCATTTTCCCCTCACAGAATACAAATCCATCTCTCCTCTGACAGTGGAAGGACTTGGAACCTCTTGGACAAGCTGAAACTTGGGCAAATAAAGCTGGTTTTAATTTGTGGGGAGCAGTCAGAAATTGTTGTCAAGAAGATAAATATCAAAATAAGGGGTGGATTAGCAGTGAAAGATGTGACAGCAGGTCCGAGGCAGGATGATCTAAGGACTTCCACGTGGATCTAATCAGAGAGTGCGTCTCCCTTTGAGCTCAGCTAATCCAGATGCATTAACTCCTCTTTCAGTCATAGCATCCCAGACTGGTTTGGCTTGGAAGGGACCTTAAAGCTCATCCCATTCCACCCCCTGCCATGGGCAGGGACACCTCCCACCAGCCCAGGTTGCTCCAGGCCCTGTCAGGAGGATAATTTACTCACACACAAGCCCAGAAAGTGATGTTACATTTCTTACAGATCCAGAATTAGCCCTGCAGAGGCTTTTCTCCATTTTTCTCCAATTCTTCCTGTTGCTTCTGCTCTTCCAGACAAAACACATGTTTTTTCTTTGCTTGCCACTGGTTTGTTTTTTGTCTTCCTCTTTTATGAAGCCCCTGCTCTCCAGAGCCGTGTAGTAACTGCAGATGGGTGATAATTGGGGTGTTTTTATGATTTCCTGTCCTCCACCAGTTGAAAGGGGTCAAAGCGTTCATCCCAGCAGATTGTTGGTGGCATCTCAATCATTTACAGTCAGTGGCACTGCTGGAAATGTCAGACAGCACCCAAACCTGGCATAAAAATGAGTGATTTATAGAAGCCTTTTCCTTCTGGGGAGGCTTTTGAACGAGCCCAAGTACATTGTGTGTGTATGAGCTGAGAAATTAAAGAACCTCCCCCCAGTCTGTGTTGCTGTGTTTGCCATCAGATGGGCCCCAGACCTGGTGAACTTTGTGCCTCACAGGGTCCCTTTTTGTGTCCCTGCAGGTTCTCTAACGTCGATGTTTGTCAGGCTGCCTTGCGGTGGTGTCGGGGTGAGTGACTCTCTTCCATGTGTAAATAATGTCCTGTTTGTTCTCCCAGTGCCCTCAGCACCAAAAAAATTGTTGCTTTGCATTCCAGCAAGTGGGTAATTGCAACCAGATGCTGCCCATAAACAGGGGCTGTGGGGCTGCTCAGCCTCACGTGCCTTTCTTCAAAAGCAGCAGGAAGATTTTTCAGCTATTTTGGAGAGTCCAGGCGTGTGGGACGTTCAGAGGCTTGTTTGGGCTCTGGTTTTTAGGAGGAAAAACCTCATTTCCCAGGCAGGGATGTTTAAATGGCTTTGGGGTTGCTCCCCTTGCATCCCAAAATGCCTTTTCCGTGGACAGCAAGATGTGTTTGTGCTGTGTAGGTGTTTCATCTTCAGTCCCTGGACTTCAGAGCTGCCTCCACAGCAGGTGGAAAACGGGGGTAATAAAACAGTGATTATCCAAGGACAGGATTTGGGAAGTTCCTGTAAATAGTAAGTTTGTCCTTGAACTGAAATGTCCCACAGGTTGTGCAGCACAAGGGATTTGTCTTCAGTATTTGGCATCTTTTATCCCCCAGCTCCAGAAAAATCCACAGGGATTCTGAAGGAGGTGACTGAAACAGCCCTCCATCCCTCCTGGAAAAGCTGAACATCACTTTTCAGCTGTCAGATTTCCATATAATAAGACTTTTTGTTGTTGTTTGTTCCCATAAAGCCAAAAAAAAAAACCAAACCAGACCCTAAATACCTTGTTTTGAAGGTTTTCCTGTTTTCCTTTGAAGCCTGAAAACTTAAAATTTGTTTCCCTTTCAAGTCAGACTTTGTGCCCCAGAGTTTCTGTGGAGGGTGACAGGACAGAAAATCGTGGAGAACAGGAAGGGAAGAGAATGAGAGGAGACAATAAAAGGCATTGTGTTTGAAAATTCACAGTGGTAGTTCTGCTGCATAATTGTAGCTCGTGAGGTTGAGTTTTCAAGGTCTGGATTCTGTTATGGAAATGAAACAAAATTGTTTTCTTCCTGAGCCTTTGCAAAATCGCTGCTTTGAAAATTATCCCGTCAAAAAAAAAAAAAAAAAAGAGGAGAATAATCGTCGTTCCTTCATCCCGCCACTCGAGGAGAGATTTTATTTTGTATTGTAAATATGCTGCAGCCTCCTAATTCATGGCAAATTTTTGGCTGGAGCTTTAAAGGCTTGGATTTACTCTGCCCTGCAGTCAGGCATGCCATTCAAAGCAAAAAAAAAAAAATTATCATTTGCAAATGAAGGCTGAATGGTAAGGAGGGGAGGCAGAGCCTGGGCCCAGCACGGGCTCACAAGTCTGGCACTGAATCCGAAAGCAGGGCAGGAAACGCCGCAGAGCTGGGACTGTTGATGTGCTCCCACTGCAGAGAGGGCTTGCAGTTCACTTGCTGCTTGCTTGTCTCCACAGCCCCTTAAATATTAAATGTTTACTGATATTTATAGTATTGTCGCAGTCCTAACAGAAAAACCTGGGCCAGAGCCTCGCTGTCCTCACGGGCAGGAATTCCTTCCCAATATCCTGTCTAACCCTCTGGCACTGGGAAGCCATTCCCTGTGTCCTGTCCCTCCATGCCTTGTCCCCAGTCCCTCTCCAGCTCTCCTGGAGCCCCTTTAGGCCCTGCAAGGGGCTCTGAGGTGTCCCTGGAGCCTTCCCTTCTCCAGGTGAATCCCCCCCAGCATTCCCACTTTTCCCGATGGTGAAGGACCATCAGGCACACGTGATGATCAGAGGAATCATCTCGGCTTCCAGTGGTTTGTGGCCCAAGCCTTAATGAGAAGGGATTTATTTCAGCTTAGATTTCAGTTCTCTGATGTAGACTGTGTTTATTTCTAAGGGGCAAAGGGACACTCCACGAGGTGCTGCACTCAGCTCCCCACAGCTTTCCAGCTGCCTTTGGAAGGGGGATTTTCCCCAGAGAGATCAAACCTGGTTTGCCAAATACTTCCCAGGAGCACATAGTACCATAAAGTGAAAAGGAAAGAAAGGAAGAAGTAGAACAAGGTGGGACAGGTCCTCTTTTGGGTTTGCACCGGAGCAGGTGATTCCTGGTGCTTGTACTTCAGGAGCTGAGGGTGTCACGGGAAATACTGGACTGGAAAGATGGAAACCAGGAGGTTCTTCTTCAAGCAGTTCTCTTCTCTAGAAGATGTTGTGTAGATGAAAAGAATGGATGGGTCTGAAGGGTGATGTGGGGAACCCCATGAAGAGCTGTTTTGCTCCAGGATGGAGGATGAATCCTGGTGCTTGGGCAGCCAGGAGTTCTCAGCAGTGAGCAAGACAAAGGACGTTCAAGGGAGCGAATATCCTGAATATCCTGAGTTGGAAAGCACCCATCAGGACCATCCTGTCCAACCTCTGGCCCTGCCTAGGACACCCTACCAATCTCACCCTGTGCCTGTAGTGTTGTCCAAGCTCTCCTTGAGCTCTTGAACTGAAGCAACAGGAAAATAGTTTGGAGCAAATCTCTTCATCTCATAACACCTTTGATCTCTCTTTTTAAAAACTAAGTCTCAGTGTCTTGAAATCAATGAGAAAAAGGGGTCAGTTTGATCTCAGGTGGTTGGCAACTCTTTCTCCTCTTTGGTTTATCCCAAGAAACCTTCCCATGGCCGTAGCTGGCACCGACAAACCTCCTCCACCCGCAGCCGTAGCAGGGAAGGAAGGCAGCACAGAAGCACTTGCAGCAACAGATGTGGGCTCTGATTGAAGCAGCAGTAATTTCTTTCTGCTGATCTTCAACAGCATCTGCAAGTGCAGCACAGGGTGGTTTTGCTCAGCTTCACTTCTGTGTCTGACTTAGCTGCACCACGGCGTTACCTAATCCAGGCTAATTAGAAGAAGATTTCGGAGAAAGGAGTTGAAGCTTTGAAAATCTGCAAAACCATTCCCATCCAGATTCTTCCAAACACCCAAAGGCTTGATCTTAGGTTAGCTAATAAATGTGTTTTCTTTTCTGTGCAGTATTTTTCTGCACATTTTCTAAAAGTGTCTAAAGATACAGTTCTTTAAAGGGTGTTCTTCGTGTTGTTCTCCAGAATGTTTGACTCTATTTTTGGCTGTAAAGTCTTGATTAGAGGGTGTCAAAACCTTTACCTGTGCAAACAAAGGAGTTATGGCAGAGCAGAGACCTCAGAAAGGACTTCCATGGAATGGAAATGAGGAGAAACTAATTAGCAAGTCGGAGGAGACACAGTTGGGTGCTGCTGTCGCCTCAGCTCCATGAGGGAAGAGCAGAACTGCTTCACTTTGCAGGGTCTGGAGCTGTGGCACAGCCTGTCCCTGCACTTGATTTCTTCCCTGTGTAGCTCTTCAGCTAAAGGAAGTAGTAGAATAATGAAACCTTTTGTAAGTTGCTCATTTAATTCTGAAATAGCTGCACTTCAGCAGAGTTCACTGTGTGAGTAGGAGCCTCATCATGGGTATTAATAAAACCCAGAGCTTTTATTAAAGGGAGGGAGTTCCTATAAGGAAATTGTAATTTTTATTATGAGGAAGGGAGGTTTCACCCTGAAACATCTTGGACATTCCTTACAGAACAGAGACTGGATCAAGCTGTTGACCTTCCTCTTGGGCATCCCCTCCTCACATGATGTGAAGGGGACGAGCCTGCAGCAGATCCCAGGAGCTGAATTCCCTCTCCCCACCTTTAGGAGCCCTCTCCGGGTGCTGTCCTAGCAAATTCTTCATTAGAATGATCAAGGCATTAATTTTCCCTCAAGAGGAGCAGCACAAGGGCTCCTCATCCCACCGTGGCCAGTGTGGGAGAGTCGGTGTCTGCCACAGTTGTGTCCCACAGATCCAGAGGAAGAGCAAGGAATACACCCTGTTGGACCAAAGAAAGGCAAGAAATGTGCTTCCTCTCTGCCTAAAGTCCTTCCAGATGGCAAAGCTGGATGTGCTGGCCTGACAACTCCTGTGATGGCAGCGACATCAAAGAGCTGCCGGGCAGGGAAAGCCAAACAGCCTCTTCCCTGTAATGAACTTGGGATTCAGGAATGATGGAGGGCTCAACAGCAGCCTGGACAGCAAACAGCAGCAGCTTTGGAGCTGCACAACAGTCCAGCTCAGGGCAACCTGAGGAACGTTTTCCAGCATGACAAGATCACTGAGGGCTTTGGAGGGACCATTCCAACACTCCCAGGATGAAATGCTGCCTTGGAGTCATCTCACACATCCAGGAGGGTGGCTGGGTATTAAATCCTTACCTTGGACATGTTTGCAGGATGGGGTGGTAGGGATCTCTGGATCCAGTCCTCTCCTGCTGGGAACCTGAGTGTGAGCAGACTCCTTGGAATTGCTTCTAAATCCCAGTGGGAATGCTCTTGTCCAAGTACTGAATTTCTTTCAGTCTAAGTACTATCACTGTAAATCCACTCTGCCTTGCCCTCCTCGTTCTCCCTGGAGTGCTGCCACCACCAGCCTGGTTTCTCCAGGCATCCAAGGGCCTGAACTTGGCTTGGCTTCGGCACCGGTGATTCCTGTCTCCTTTAAAGGGAAAACCAGCACCCAGAGCCATCTGAGGGGAATCCAAGGGTCTGTTGGTCCCTTAGGACACGTGAATTTTGGGGTTTTTTTGTATTCCATTCCTCTGGAATGGGATGAAGATGGTCCTCTGCAAGCCTGCATCCATGGAAGGAGCCTGGTACTTGTCGTGTCCAGGCAGAGAGGGAAGCTCTGACCTCCTGTGTCCTGCAGCATTGCCTTTCAGGACCAAGCAAAATGGATCAGATTTGCTCCAGAATGGATCAGATATGCCCAGAGATGGGCCAGATGTGCTCCAAGATGGGGCAGATAGGCAAAAAGGTGGATTAGATACAGGAGCCCAAAGGTGGACCCTCACAGAGCCCTGATGGGCTGGTTGGGGGCGGTTCTTCCCACCTTGTCTGGGGCTTTTGGAGGGCCCTGGTCAGTCCTGCAGTGCTGACCCAGGATTCCTGGAGCTGTTGTGTGTCACAGATCCCATTGTACTTCTGTTCCCATGTTAGTGCCCAAACTTTCAGGGCTCCTGGTACCACAGTTAGTCCCTGGAGGGCTTTCCCTCCTGTTCTTGGCTTTCCCTCCTGTTCTTGGCTTTCCCAGAGGCACAGACCTGGCTTTGTGTTGTTCTGCAAATGCTTTTCTGTGGCTTCCAAAGCATCCTCAGGGTGGATATTGCCAGGAACCATCCCTGATAACAGCCCCTGGGATCCTTTGCACTGACTCTTCCTTCCTCTTTTCCCTTTTCCCTTTTTCCCTTCCCTTTTCCTATTTCCTTTCCCTTTTCCTTTTTCTTTCTAGAATCATGGAATGATTTCCTAAACCTTTTTATTTCATCTGGGATCAGTTTCCTGGGCAATTAAAGAGAAATTCTGATACTGTGGGCACAGAATCCCAGAATGACTGGGGTCGGAAGGGACCTTAAAGCCCATCCAGTCCCACCCCCTTCCACCAACCCAGGTTGCTCCAAGCGCCATCCAACCTGGCCTGGGACACTTCCAGGGATCCAGGGGCAGCCACAGCTTCTCTGGGCACCCTGTGCCAGGGCCTGCCACCCTCCCAGGGAAGGATTCTTTCCCAGTATCCCACCTAACCCTGCCCTGTGGCAGTGGGAAGCCGTTCCCTGGTCCTGGCCCTCCCTGTGGACGATGGCTGTGTGGAGCAGGGCTGCTGTCCCTGCTCCTCAGTGGTTCCCTGTGTCTCTCAGGTCGACAGTGACACCATTTGGAACGAAGTGCACTCGTCGGGGGCCGCCCGCCTGGCCGTGGGCTGTGTCATCGAGCTGGTCTTCAAAGTGGCCACAGGAGAGCTCAAGGTTGGTGTGGGAACAGCCCTGGGCTGGGCTGGGGGATGCAGGACTGCAGGAGCTGCACGGCTTCTCTCCCCCTCCCAAAGAGCATCACCCACCGCTCTGCTCCTGTGAGAAAACCATCAGGAGCAACCCCATAGTTCAAAACACAGTTCAGGCTTTTCCCTGCGGGCTCTGCATCCCTCTTTGCCTCTCTGACTTCTTCCCTCTCCTGTCCTGTGTGTGCAGAATGGATTTGCCGTTGTGCGGCCCCCAGGGCACCACGCCGAGGAGAGCACCCCCATGTGAGTATGAGGGAGGGCTGGCTTGGATTGCTGCAGGGCTGCTCTGGTCCACAGCTGGACATTCCAAAGGAATTTTGCTAGGTTATCCCTCCAGAATTCCTGTTCATTGAGAGGTGAGATGACTTGTATCCAGTTCTCTGGAAGAGGGTAAGATCCTGCTTAGTGCTTTCGGGGGGGTGTTTTCTAGCAAGGATCAGCATTCCAGCCTCTCCTTGCGGTGGGTTTGGGAAATTTGGGGCATTCCCTGTTTCCCTAGAGCTGGCAGGGTGCCTGCTGCTGGAATTCAGCACATGGCCATCTTCCAGTGGGAAGTGGGTCCCAGGGGAAGGTGTCCCTGCCTGTGGCAGAGGGTTGGAACGAGACAAACCCAAACCATTCCATGTTTCCAAGGAGGAAGGAATTTCATCCTTTCTCCTGTGTTCCACCCAGGTGGAACTGGATGCACTGGGACCAAGAAAAGCTGTCATTGACCCCTGTCCTTCCCTCTTGTCTCCCCTTCCAGGGGTTTCTGCTATTTTAACTCCGTGGCAATCGCAGCGAAGCTGCTCCAGCAAAGGCTCAACGTGAGCAAAATCCTCATAGTGGACTGGGTGAGTAAATCCACTTCTTTCCCTTGGGAGCTGCAGGTGGAAATTATTCTGCATGGGTTTTTTTCTTGCAAGAGGCAGCCCTGGTTTTTTAAGTGACTTGTTGCCTGTGCTCTGCAAGCGAAAATTCGGGGTTTAAAGTGATTGAAAGTGTTTTAACAAAGACAAACTTCTTGAAAAATCCACAGTTTCCCAAATAAAGTTGTAATTAAGAAGTAGTTGCTTTCTAAAACAAGCCTGACCCACAGTCTCAAGGATAACTCAAGGGCTGTTTTTTTCCTGGTGCTTCCCAGTTTTCTTTTCAAGATGCAAGGACCAGTTCCTGGGAGGAACAGGCTGCTTGGCACAGCTTGTCCTTCTGAAGGGATGATCCATGTGTCCTGCCTCTGAGAAAGAGCTCCTTGGGGGGTTTGCTGGGGCAATTTATAGATTTTTATGTTTTTTGATGAATTTCATGTGGCTGTGAAGACATTGGAGTGGCTGGAGGTCAGCCAGGAGTTTTGATTATATTGTCAAATGGGCTAAACCGAGTTAAAATGGATTTATTTGTTTTTTGGACCTACTGTAAGGACATGCTTTCCCTCACTTCCCACCTGTTTTTCACAGCAGGAAGGGGAATTTTGAACACCTGTCCAGTTCCAGGCTGTGTTTCTGCACCACATGAGGGATCTGGAGAAGGGTTGTGTTGTTCAACCTCCTTGGGTCCAACACAACTTTACTGTATCAGATGCAAATTTGGGGCAAAAAATGCAGTTTCTCCATCACCCAGTATCTGGTGTGAATCCAGTTCTCTCCATCCAAGTAAATGAGTTCTGTCTCAGGTTCCACAGACACTTGGGATTGTGTTTATTCTGTGTTAAACAAGGAATCTGAAGCCAGGTGGGCAAAGCAGGTTATTCCCATTTCCCATAAACTGCTTCAGCCGGATCAGGGAAGCGCCGAAATGAAGCCCAACAGCAAGAAACCCCCCAAATCCTAAATTCTTACCTTTAATCCACATTTTTCTGAAGGTGTTAACCTCTAATCTCTGTCCCTCAGGATGTCCACCACGGGAATGGAACTCAGCAGGCCTTCTACAACGATCCCAATGTCCTTTACATCTCCCTCCATCGCTACGATGATGGCAATTTCTTCCCAGGCAGCGGTGCTCCCGACGAGGTGAGGGCATGGATCAGCACCAGGACCCGCTCAGGTGCTCCCAGAAATCCCAGGAGGCCCCTGCCAGGCTTGGAGAGAAGCTCCTGCCTCCTCAGTAGTGCTCCTTTGGGAACACATCCCTCGGGTTTGTGTGTTTGGGGCCTTCCCCCCAAGTCCTACCAGCCATGGGCTTTGTGTCCTGCACAAAGTGAGTCAGTAATGAGCAATTAATGAGTAATTAATGAGCCCCAGATTAATAAATAACCCTGAATTCCCTGGCTGTGCATTGGAGAACTTTCAGTTCATTTTCAAAACATTAACTTTCAATTTTACTTTTTTTTTTCATATGCAGAGACCTTCTTGGCAAACAAACTGCTGGAACCCCTTGTTTTGTTTTTCAGTTTCCCCCTGTTTTCAGGGCAGATGGGGACATGCAAGGAGGGGGATTTAATTCCATCTCCATCTCCCACCCACGTGTCCCTCAAGCAGCCAAAACCTCTTCTCTGTGAATCTTTTTTTCCCCAGCAGAGGGGGAGCTCACTCTGATTAAAATACAGGGTTTTTTTCCTCAGCTGCAACTGTAAGGAAATAGAAAATATGCTTCTGGATAAAGCTGAGAATTAATTATGGGAAGGTATTCCATTCCTTAAAAGAAATGGAAAGGATCCAGGTGCTGGTGAGGTGTTTTTTGGGAGAGCAGCAGCCAAGTTCCACTGGTCCTCAGCCCCCATAAGGATCAGGGCAGGGAGGAGCTTTATTTTCACTCTTGTTTTGAGGACTGGGGAAAAATTCACCTCACTACTGAATCCAAGACATGTGCTGCCAGAATTCCCTGTTTCCATGTGTGTAATTAAATGTCCCCTCTCCCTCTTCCAGGTTGGCACAGGAGCAGGAGTTGGTTTCAACGTTAACATGGCATTTACTGGTGGCCTGGATCCACCCATGGGAGACACAGAATATTTAACTGCTTTCAGGTAAGAGGGAATTGTTCCTCTGCAAAATGGGGGTTTCACCTAAACTGGGTTTCTTTCTCCTCCTTAATCTGGATTTCTGCCTTTCCAAGGTTAGAAAGACAGGATGTGCAGGTAGCTGCAGTTACTTTTTGAGTGCCATGATAAAAACAAGCTGAATTAGGATATTCCTGGCTGTGGCCTCAAGGGATGGATGAATTTGCTGCTCAGGATTGATGGATCCATGGGTAGAATTTATTCACTGAGAGGAGTAAAGCCTTCTGGTTCTGGCTAAAAACCTCGTGACCTCTTTAGGGGGAGTATTTCTATGGCTGAGCTCACCTGGGTGGGAAGAGCGGGATAAGCTTTGGGAAGAGTCAGCCCAGGTTGGAACTGGGGGGTGCAGCTGCCCCAGGGCCTGAGGGGGCACCTCTGGTACCCAAAAATGGCATCACTGAGGCTCCAAATGGAGCAGGGGAGGAAACTACTTGGCTCAAGGTCAAGATAAAAAAGTTTAGATTGGGATACTGGGAAGGAATTCTTCCTGGGGAGGGGCTGGGATGGAATTCCCTGGGAAGTTGTGGCTGCCTCATCCCTGGAAGTGTCCAAGGCCAGGCTGGAGCAACCTGGGCTAGTGGAATGTGTCCCTGTCCAGGGCAGGGGGTGGAACCAGATGAGCTTTAAGGTCCCTTCCAACCCAAAACATTCCATGATTTTCTTTAAAAAGTCCTGTCCCACACCTGCCTCCCACCTGTGGCTCCAGCCTCTCCAACTGGAATTGTTTTAACACTTTGAAGTGGTTTTCTGTCCTCACACCAGGTTTGGTGGCCATCCCATCTAAATCCAGGGAGATGCATCCTTGCTAAGACATGGGATGTGAGTTTCTGAAATATCACCTTGCTGGGATAGCATTAAATCCAGGAGCACTCTTCCCTGTCCTAAAGAACATGTATTTATCTTCTGTTACACTGAGCAAAAAGAACTTTTCCCCCCCTCTTCATGCTGCTGTTACAGAGCCTTCCAAGGACATTCCCAATTTAAAATAACACCTTGTCAAATCCCTGTTTTCTTCCTGGAAGGCAGCACTTTGCTCCAAGGTGGAAGTCTGGTTATCCCACCATTCCCAAGCCTGGTCTCTTCCTTAGGCAGAGAACCTGGAGTTGGGGACAGAGTGACATTAAATATCAATTAAATTCCCAGGCTCCTGGAAAATTGCCTTTCCAGCCATTCCTGGTGTCTTTGCCCAGAGAGAGCAGCTCTTTGGGGAACACACTTTGGAGCTGCTCACAGCCCTTTATTTTTAGGAGTTTTTGGGAAGCTCATGGGACTCCATGTGCACACCTTCAGTCCATAACTTTAACGGGAAGCTTTTTTTTCATCTCGCTCCAACGTCGGGCACGATAATCCATTATCAAGTGACCTTTTGAAATCTCCACCAGCTCCTTTGAAAAAGATTCCCCCCACCCCGCCCCGAATCTTTCTATTGATTTGAATGTAAAATAACTCTTTGAAGTTTGCAATTTATAGTCCCCTGAGAGTCAGAAAGTGAAGGGAATGGGTCATATATCCCATTTTTTCCCCCCCCTTCTTTTCTTGCTTTAGCCCCTGGAGACAATTCATGCCTTCAAGGCAGCACCTTGTTATTCCACCCCATCGAATGCCACGTTGCATTTGCCGGGGATCAAACCAGGAGATGAAGGAAAGATAAGAAAATTGGCCATAATGAACTCCAGAAGCAGGAGGCATTTTCACCATGAACTTGGAAACTCTGCAGTGGAGAGCTGAGCTTTAATTCAAACCAGTCCCGGTGCCAAACTGGGAAGGCTTTGAAGTCTGGAGAGGAATCAGTGGAAATCCTTTGAGCCAGGCAAAGATACTGATAGACTTTTTTTTTTTTTTTTTTTTTTTTTTTTTTTTTTTTTAAGCCTTAACTCTTCACATTCCCGTCTATTTTAGGGGGGAAAAAAAGAATCCTTTTTCTGCATAAAAGGAGCAGAATTAAATCGAGCACCACACGTGATGGTTTCATTTCAGGGTGAGCCCGTGTGTGGGTTTGAGAAATGAAAACAACGGAGCTAATTGTCCGTGGAAATGAGGGAATAAATAATTCCTAATGGAGTCACTCATCCCCACGCTGGAAACCTGTTTTGGTGCGGGTTTACTCTCTCCCACAAGAAAGAGGGAGGTTTGCATCAGTGATTTTCCTACTGTGATTTCTCCTCCAAATATTGGCTCCCCCCTCTTGCAGTGGGGTCACAGAATATTCTGACTTGGAAGGGACCCACGAGGTGCCCAGGCTCTCCTGACCTCTGGATACTCCTTAATCCCACCAGGATTTTCCAAAAGTGAGAACAAGGGTTAAAAATGTGCCTTGCCCTGCGCTTTATCCTCGTTACCTTCGTAACCCAGGGCTGAAATCACCGGCTCGGGGTTGGGCTGGTGGCATTTTTTAAGGGGGGACACAGGGTGGAGATTCCAGAAGGGATTTGGGGAGTTTTGGGGAGCTTGGAGCAACTCTACTCTATCCCAATTTGGGGCTGAACTTACCCCCAAAATATGTGGGCTACCCAAATTGCAGAGATTAGGGAGAAATGTGTTCAACCTTAAAGGGAAAAATGCAGGACATGTCATTCCCAAAGTCTTCAGCTCATCCAGACCTTCCTGGTGTCTGTTATTCCGTCGTTATAGAAACAAACAGTTGTAAAAGACTTGGAGGGTTTTCTGACCGGGATGTGTCATTCCCTGATGTTTTACACAAGCAGGAATGGCGTTTCCTTCCCCAAATCCTCCCCGGGACTGTGCAAACCCAGCTGAGAGACCTGCAGGGAAAGGGGAGAACTCTGGCTGGTTCCTTGTTCCATGGGAACAGCAATTAGTGGAATTAAACTGTATTACCTGCAGGAGTTTCCCTGGGAATTCGCTGCAGGAAGGTTTCCCTGGTGATTGGAGCAGGATTTTTGCCCCTGTCCCGAGGTCTCCTCCACAGTTAGAATTCCATCCGCAGCTCAGTTGTTATTTCAAACGCCTAAAGCGGAAGGAAAAGCCAGGACTGTTGGGAAGATCCCTCAAAAAGCATTAACTGAGTGCAGGAACCCATTTTGGGGGGGATTTTGCTTTTCCCTGTGATCCATAAAGAGGGAATAAGGAGCAGGAGCGATGACGGGTTTGCCTGGCTCGGTTGTTTCTGTGTTTTCGGTTTCATGCTCTTCTGACACTGATCTTATCCCCGAATTCCTAATCCCTTTGGACATGGAAAATGAGCGTGGAGATGGATGCCTGCAGAAAGAAAGACTGGAATTTTCACGAGGCTGATTAGCCATAGGAGCAGTGGATGACGTTTTGGGTTATACACACATTTTTTAATATCTATAAAAAATATGTGTATAACCATATATATATAATATATATACATTTATATATATTTATATACATTTATATACAACATACATAGCACATATAAATATATATTATATATAAATATTTTAAATATATATGTGCACATTTACATGACAGGTATAATACATATAGCATATATAAAATATATAAACATAGAAATATACACATGATGTATTAATATATAATATATAAGTAGATGCAGAATATATTAAAATGTATAGTTAAGATATATGAGAATATCTACATGATATATAGAGATATATCTAACTAGATGCATAATATATAAAAATGTACACATATATATAAGTAACATATATAAAAATATATAATTTATGTAAATAGATGCATAATATATAGTTATAGACATATACCCATAACATAAAAATGTAGATAATTTATATAAATACATGTATAATATATACTTAACATATATAAAATATATTTATAAAAATAGATGCATAATATATCAAAATATATCCTTAGCACATGTAAGTATACACATAACATATATAAAAATACGTATTTGCATGCATATGTGCATACTATATACTTAACATAGTGAAATATGCTTACATATAAAATATATTTATGTAAACAGATGCATAATATATAAAAATATGTGCTTAACATATATGTAGACATAACATGTTTAAAATATAGAGACTTTATATAAATACATGTATAATATGTAGTTCATTTATATAAATATATGCATAATATATAAAAATTTATTTTTATAAATATATTATATATAATATATATTAATGTACATAATATAAAATTTATATATTATATATAATTTTTAAAATTGGTATGTAGTTCATATAAATATATATATATAACACAAAATAGATATTTATACAGATAGACCCATAATGTAAAAAAATATATCCATAGCACATATAAATATCCACAGAACATATATAAAAATATAGGTAAAGCATGTATATATATGACCAATAGTGGGAAAAAATCTCCCCTAAAATGCTCAGCCTTCTAAATTTCCCTGACTTCCTCGCTGCAATCGAGCATTTAAACCCCAAAGTAATCCTCTGTCGGATTGTTTCACCCTCATATCATTTATTAGGCATTTAATTGGCAGATTGGCTGATCCCAGGCTAAAAATAATTCCTTCAGGCCTCTGGAAAATAGTGCTAAAATTGCATTTATTTTTTTTCCCTCGCTCCCAAGCGATGGCAGGACACGCTGGGGAGGTTTTGCTGTTTGCAACCACCAGTTGTCCCTGTTCAGCTTCTTCAAAAAGAGGGATTTAATTTAGTTTAGGCAAGCAAACCAAGCCTCTAAAATTCAGGAAATTTCAATTTCCTTGTGTTTTGAAAGATTCCACATGGATTGAAGGAATAGTCGGTGTTAGGGCTGTTCATTCCTCACTGCAGAACTTTACGGCCATTCCTTAAATGCCCCAATTCCAGGCAAAACTGCTCGTCTCCTGGATGATAATTTGACTTTCTGGCTTTTTGTGGTCTCATCCTCAGGGCAAAGCCCTGGGGTTGTGTGCAGTTGAATCCTCGTTTTCTCTCGGGGACTGGGCTTTACTAGGATGGATCTGAGCGAAGGGGCTGGTTTTCCACACGGACAGGGAGGATTAGAAAGGAAAAGGCTGGGTGAGATGGACCAGAAATGTTGTCCACGGATGGAATCCTGGAAACACGTGGGATTTCTTTGCCTTTTTTCCAATTAAAAAGGCAAAATGAGGGAATGCTGACTCTGACCCTCCTGGATCAAGTTTTATGTCCAAAGATAGAGCTGCTTTTATGGATGTGGAGCATCAGCATGGAGTGTGGCTTTGGAATATTGATCTCTTTACTCTCACATCCAGGGACAGGACCTGAGGGAACAGCTGGAGCTGTGCCAGGGCAGGTTTAGGATGGATCTCAGGAAAAGGTTCTTCCTTTGGAAGGTGGTTGGGCACTGAACAGGCTCCCCAGGGAAGTATCCAGAGCTCAAGGAGCATTTGGACAACGCCCTCGGGGACAGGGTGGGATTGTTGGGGTGCCTGTGCAGGGCCAGGAGTGGGACTGGATGATCCTGGTGGGATCAGGAGATTCTGTCATTCTGGAATTTGGAGAAAATCAGAAGCAGGAGCAGCCCTTGAGGATTTGGATGGGAGTCACGGGAGAAGGGGAGGCTTCAGCTCTGGATTAGGGAGTGCTCTTGGCTTGGGATGTGTTTGGACGGTCAGTGGGCACGGACTGTCCATCTGGACCTCTCAGAGAGGGAGCCAGGGGACCTGGGACACATTCCTTAAGACTCTGAGGGACCTGCCAACAACGCACAGCACCTCTTGGAATTGCTCCCAGTTGGAGTAGCCACTTGTGACATGAGGTCACTCCATCCTGCACCAGAGAAAACTCTGGGCATCCTCAAAGCAGCTTCTTCTGAGCCCTCATTTGCTTTGAACCAACAACTGCTGCTTGTCCTCTCCTAAAATTCACCCCCCAGGGCTTAAGGGTCCTTAAGGTCCCTCCCAACCCAAAGCATTCCGTGGTTCTGTGGGCTGTCCCATGGCCCAGAATCTTTAGGAATCCACGGTCCTGTGGATTGCTCCATCCCCACACCTGGCTGATCCCACACTTCCAGCCAGGTCCTGGCAGCTCCCATGGCATCAGAACTCGGGGGGAAAAAATAAATGGGATGATTTTAGAAGTTTTCCTTTGGTTGGGAATTAAAGAGCTCAGCAGGACTTCAGAGTTCAGGGAGAATAAAACCCTCGGCCCTGTGTGGTGGGTTTGGAAGTGCTGCTCCAGTCCTTGGTGGGGGAGGTGGATTCTATGGATTTATGGTGGATTTTAGGAGTGTCCTGGTAGCACTTGGGCCATCCCAGCACGGAACAGACCTCTCTGGGCTCTGTTTCAGAGCATCACTTAATGACTCCACTCAGTAAAATGACTGATAAATGCAAAGATATTTACGGGTTCCTGCTTTGGGATATGAATAAAACCACTTCAGGTCATGCTGGAGAAAGTTATAATGGAAAAGGAGCATCATTTGGAAAATGCATCTTGAGATGGGGAATGGGGTGTTTGCAGCCTCTCCTGTGGGTTTTGAGGAGAAATTGTGGTGTTTGAAGGGAGAGAAACCAGAGGGAAAAGGTCTTTTGGTGAGAACCCAGAGGCACAGAGCCCTTGTTTCATTTAGATACCAGCTTGAACAGTCAATAGTTTATGGATGCTGAGCAATTCCATTCATTTTTTAGTGGATAAAATGTGAGAGTATGGAGAACTGGCACTGGGAGAGGTGTATTTGGGTGGGGAACCAGTTCAAAGCGGTGTAATGGGTGGGACATTTGCATTTTAAAGCTTTTTTTGCTCCGTGGGACATTCCCAACCTTTCATTTCATGGGAAATGAAAAGTTCAGCAAGGAAAAGAGAAATGAAAACCACTTTTTTGCCAAACCTGAAGGAGATATTTTGAAGGAGGACATGGAGACAGTGCCGTGAACTGCCTTTTTCCAGGTGGATTTGTAGCCTGTGCCAGGTGCCCTCTCATTTTCTCCTTATTCCCGTGTCTGTAAAGCAGGATATGATCCCAGATGGGAAGCACAAGTTATTCCAGCTCTTTTCCCTGCTCACAACACGAGGATGTTGATGGAACAAATCACGGACAGCGCAGCGTGTTCTGCTCTCACCTTGGAGGAAAACAGGAGCTGGGCTTTGCTGCCACGGAACGGCGGTCCCAGCTTGGAGCATTAAGAGGGTTTAACCATTCCTGGCTTTGTTCAGGAGCCCAACTGATGAGTCCCATGGTTCCTTTGTGCTGCAGGACCGTGGTCATGCCCATTGCCAACGAGTTTGCCCCGGATGTGGTGCTGGTGTCGTCCGGTTTCGATGCGGTGGAAGGACATCCCACCCCCCTGGGAGGGTATAACCTGTCAGCAAAATGTAAGTTGGGGCTTGGCAGGAGCAGGGAGCCAAAACTGGGGCCCAATTGCTGCTCTACAGTATTCCCAAATTTTACATTTTGGGATTTAACCTCAGACCTTTCATTGCGGCGGCAAAACTTTTTCAACCTTTTCCTTTGACTTTTCCTGGGGTTTTATTTTACAACATATATTTTACCCTTTTTTTTTTTTTTTAAGCATTGCATATTGCAATTTTGAGTGCAAATTATATTCATAATTTTTTATATATTTCTCCTTTTTGTTTTGGACCCAGGATGTCTTTGGGAGATGCACTGAAATCCCCCCTCCTTGGTTATGCTGAGCTAACCTGGCACTGTTTCATTCCAGTGAATCCAGGAGACAGTTTTTTCTTACAAAAAGGATTTTATTCTTATTTTTTAAGACTTTGTGTCAGCCAGGAAAGTTGTTCTCTCCAGTGAACTTCAAAAGCCTCGTGAGGGAGCTGAACCTTATAAACTTTATATAAGAATAAAGTGAAATAGATTTACAAGAGGCAAGTTATTTGAGATCTCCAGAAACACTTGGGAATGAGAAGCCCTTGTTTACCTGCTGCTTGAATTTCCCATGGTTTGCTCCTCTCCCAAAGCAGTGAATCATTTTATCTGCCTGTTAATTTGTTAATTTGCCAGTTCTGCAGAACACAAAGCAGGGAGATGGAGGGGAGAAATTCCCTGGCTTTTCTTTTGTTTGGCTTCTGGGATTTTTTCCGAGGGGGAAGGTTGCTTTGAGGACACGTTTTTTAAATCCTCCCAGCTTGGGTCTGTTTTGTTTAAAGGGGAGAGAAATGTATTGTGTGTCATCTGATCAAAGTGCCGGGTGCCCCTGGAATTTTTATAGCATATTCTATAGGGGAAGAGCTGTCTGCTGAGAACGAGATGTCAGATGCCTCTGGGGCACTGCAGTGCTGCTATCCCTGCTGAAATATTCCTGATTTTCCCTCCTCCTCCCTCCCCTTCCACTGCTCCCACTCGGCGTCTCCCAAAGTAGGGCCACAACCTGCCTCTTTCCCTCCTTCCCAAGGGAATATTCCCTGCTGGGGTGCTGAGGGAGGGTGCTGGTACTCTCACCTGGGATAAGCTCCTGGAGCATCCATCCCAGGGAGCTGTGGCTGGAATTAAAACCCAACCTGGCTCACAATGTGTGTTGAGTCCTTTCAGACTGAACTCCCGAAGAAGGGCCAAAATCCGCCTCTTTCCCTCCTTCCCAAGGGAATATTCCCTGCTGGGATGATGAGGGAGGATGGTGGTGCTCTGGAGATCCGTCCAGCTCTGGAATTAAAACCCAGCCTGGCTCGCATTATGCGCCGAGTCCTTTCAAATCCCCGGTGGTTTTTTAATATGATGTAATTCACCGCTCTCATTCTTTGATCCGCCGCCAGGAGCCCCGTTCCAGGCACAACCTCTGCCCTTCTGCTGCATTTCCTCTGTTCCCTCCTGCAGGCTTCGGGTACCTGACGAAGCAGCTGATGGGCCTGGCCGGGGGCCGGGTGGTCCTGGCCCTGGAGGGCGGCCACGACCTGACCGCGATCTGCGACGCGTCCGAGGCCTGCGTGGCTGCTCTGCTGGGGAACGAGGTACGGGGCACGTGGCACCGGCCTGGGGCGGCTCTGCAGGGCTCTGCAGGGGGCCTGGGCGGACTGGAGGGTCGGGCTGATGGCAGCGGGATGAGGTTCAACCAGGACGAGTGCCGGGTCCTGCACTGTGGCCACATCAGCCCCTGGATTGGGCTGCCCAGGGAGGGGCACCTGTCCCTGGGGGGGTTCAAGCCCAGACTGGATGTGGCATCAGTGCCACGGGCTGGGTGACAGGGTGGGGTTGGGGCAAGGGTTGGACTCAGTGATCTCAGAGGTCTTTCCCAGCCTGGTTGATCCTGGTAAAAAAACCTCCACCTTCCTTGGATTTGGGCAGCTCATCCCCCAAAACCTGCCAAAGTTTCAGCATCGCTTTGGGTCCTTTTGGCACTCATTGATTTAAAGAGTGTTTCTGTTATATAAAAGCTATTTGTGCTTGACAATCTGAATTAAACAGAGTGAAGCAGCTGAGACCTGATTTTTTGGGTTTATCCTTTATAAAAATAATTTGCTTTGTGCTCTTTGAAAAATAACTATTTTAATTTACTTCTGAATTCATCCTCCAAGCCTTCCCTTCCCTTTGTTCCCCTTTGCCAGACCTGTTGCTTGCTTGGCACTGTTTGCAGTTGTGTTTTGCAGTTTGTATTTTCTGCACATTGCTGTGTAGGAAAAGGCTCAGCTGTGTCAGAGAAATTGGCTGGAAAGGTCGGGGGGTGTGGCTGCGAGATAAGGGCAAGACAGAGAAATACACCAGGGAATTGCAGGGTTTGGATTCTGGGAAGCTCAGCGTATTTTGCTGAGGAGGAAACTTTAGATAATTCAGCTTTTCTGCCTTGTTTCCTCCCACACTTTCAGTGTCAGTAGGATTAAGGAAGAAATGCTACGTCTGCAGATCTTTTAAACCTCTGCAGGGATGGTGACTCTGCCACTGCCCTGGTCCCCATCCCTGGGAGTGTCCAAGGCCAGGTTGGACGGGGCTTGCAGCAACCTGGGCTAGTGGAAGGTGTCCCTGCCCATGGCAGGGGGTGGGATGAGGATGAGCTTTAAGGTCCCTTCCAACACCAAAACCATTCCACGATTCCGTGAGATTTTTTTGCATCTCCCGCCTCTCTTAAGCCAAGTTGTCACCACAGACAGTTCCCCTGGCTCCATCCCCCTTTGGGAGCAGCTGGCTCCAGTGGCAGGATGCACTTTGGAAGGGAAACAGTGGGAATAGCACCTGAAGGACGTCATTCCTCCTGGGATGAGGGGGGTGACTGCAACATGGTGTGAGGATCTGCCTGCAGTAAATAAGTGCTCGATCCAAGCCGTGGATGTGTGAGGCTGTGGGGAGATCCCAACACTCCCAGTACCCTGGCCATTGTCAGCGGCCTGAGTGGTTTCATCGAGCCGAGGGAGAGGTAAAAAACACTGAATGTTTTAATCACAGCTCTAAGACACTTGAAAATACTTCAAGCTAGACCTGTTCTCACTTGTCCTAGGTGGGCTGTAAGGCTGTGCAGATATCAGGCCAATATCCCCCCGACTTACCCACACATCAAAAAGCAGGAAACGTGAGTTTTATCACGGTCTTTCCTCAAATCTCTTTAATGCAGGGAAGTTGGAGGGAGCGGCTGGCGCTTTGTGCCGCGGCCCTTTGATGCAGTTTGATGTACAGCCTGTTAGAGGCTGCTGCCTGCACACACATGGACAGGCAGCTGTGGGAGCTTTGCTGCCTCAGGAACGATCCCAGAGCCGTGTGGGGACGGGTAGGAAATGAGGGGAACGGTGCCAGTCCCCAAAGCGTCTGTGGAGATCAAAACTCCCGCCTTGGAACAGGCGCGATGGAAAAGCAGGAGCCGGCGCCTTTCCAACCGGCCAGGAAATGAAAGCAGGGCCTTGGCTGTGCAGCTGAGGGTTGGGGTGTGCAGGGAGGCACTGCTGTGCCTTGGGAACGGGAAGGGATGCACATTGTGGGGACTCGTGTGACGCTGATGGGACACGAGTTGGAAAAACAAAGGTGGGGTTGGTGCAGGGAGAGACTTTGAACCGGACTGGGAGAGCTGAGGGGGTTCACCTGGAGAGGAGAAGGCTCCAGGGAGACCTGAGAGCCCCTTCCAGGGCCTAAAGGGGCTCCAGGAGAGCTGGAGAGAGACTGGGGACAAGGGTGGAGTGACAGGACAAGGGGGAATGGCTTCCCAGTGCCAGAGGGCAGGGATAGATGGGATATGGGGAAGGAATTCCTGGCTGTGAGGGTGGTGAGGGGCTGGGATGGAATTCCCAGAGAAGCTGTGGCTGCCCCTGGATCCCTGGGAGTGTCCAAGGCCAGGTTGGACGGGGCTTGGAGCAACCTGGGCTAGTGGAAGGTGTCCCTGCCCATGGCAGGGGGTGGAATAAGATGCTCTTTAATGTCCCTTCCAAATCAGACCATTCCAAGATTCCATGATTCTGAGCTCTGCTGATGGCAGTTCAGACCACTAAGCCACTGTTCCATTCCCCAGCAGCCCCTGCCAGCAGTGCTGGGGGTTTGTCCAGGATCAGGCTCTCAAGGAGGTGCTTAAAACCTCTACCTGATGCCCAGAGGTATTTCCTCCTTTTCCCAGGACAGCAGTGGCTGAGGCTGTTGTGTGTGAGGGTTATTCCAGGAGGAGGAGAGTGCTCTGGAGGCAGGAACGTGCTTTGGAGCGGTGTCAGAAAGCTCCTACTTAAAGACTCCTGCAGGCACTGCTTTTGCCTTCCCTTAATGTCAGACAGAAACCAGTTTGGACCAGAACTATTTTTAGAGCAGAGAATTAATAAAAAGCGCAATCCATAATTACTAAATCTGGAATGCAGCAATTCCTGGTGCTCCTGAAGTACCTATGGAATGGCTGCCATGTGCTCATAAGAGCAGAATTGGCTGGAGCTTCTCTTGGCTTGGAACAGTTAAACTTTGCCATGGATTTCTGGTGTTTTGACTGTTAAAAGTGTGGCTGTTCTTTGCTGGAGAATATCCCTGGCTGGGCCTTGACTGCTATTTTCAGTCAGTGGGTATCTGGTTGTGGACACTCAGCCCTGGAGGTTTATTAGGAATTCATGCTCCACGTGGAAAACCAGGGAGAGTGAAGGTGTTCTCCTCTTCTTGGGTTTTCCTAAAGGAAATCAAAGAAACCCCAAAACAGCCCTCCAGCAGTGCTGTCAGAGCCTTTCTCTGAGGTGTTCCTGCTGCAGAACAGACTTGGCCAGGGTTGTGACCTCGTGGTCTTGATCCAGGAGGATGCCCAAGGCTTCTTGTCCTTGCTGATGTTTTCTGGCACGAGCAGAGCCCTGACTTGGTGCTCTGCAACCCCCACCTCCTGGAAAACACCACAGAGGAGGATGTGCTTTTCACTTTGGATCTGATTTCCCTTTGTCTATGCTGAGTGAAAGCTGCCAGGGTTGGGATGGGTATGGGCAGAACTCTCCATCAGGCAGGAGGAAAATATCTCCTGGAAAACAGGAGGAAGTGCTGTCAAGCATGGAAAGGGCATTTCATGTCACATGCAGTGCCAGGACACAGGGAGTGGCTTCCCACTGCCACAGGCAGGGTTAGATGGGATATTGGGAAGGAATCCTTCCCTGGGAGGGTGGGGAGGCCCTGGCACAGGTTGTCCAGAGAAGCTGTGGCTGCCCCTGGATCCCTGGGAGTGTCCAAGGCCAGGTTGGAGCAACCTGGGCTGGTGGAAGGTGTCCCTGCCCATGGCAGGGGTGGAACTGGGTGGGCTTTAAGGTTCCTCCCAAGCCAAAGCAGTCTGTGATTCCATGACTCAGTGATAACATTTCTTTGGTGTCTCTCCTTCCAGCTTGACCCTCTTCCAGAGAAGGTTTTCCAGCAGAGAGCAAACGCTAACGCCGTGCATTCCATGGAGAAGGTCATCGAGATCCACAGTGAGTAACCCCACTGATCCAACTGGTTCCCTTTTGGGTTGCCCTGGGGGGACACCTGTTTGACTTTTCCACGGTCTGGCAGCCCTGTGTTCCCGTGTCCTGGTTTCCTGGTGGTCCCTGCACCGTGAACTGGGTTTGTGCAGCCTCAGACTGGTCTGACTGGGCCAGCGCGATGCACAGCAAGCTCTTCACTCAGGACAGTGCTTTAGCCCTTGAGGGGGAATTAGGGAATCAGGGGATGGTTTAGGTTGGAAAAGATCTTTAGGATCATCAAGTCCAACCCTTAATCCAACACGAAATAGGATTAAACCCTCTAAAGTCTCTGTAAGGCACAGACTGTCCTGCAATCAGAGCTTACTCTGATTCCTTCAGAAGCAATTATCTCTAAACAACACAAGTCTTGTTGGGTGTTGTGGCATCCTAATTAAGGATAGAGAGGCATGGAAGTGAAACAGGCTCCCAGGCACAGGGTGGGATTGTTGGGGTGTCCTGTGCAGGCCCACTTGATGGTCCTCGTGGGTCCCTTCCAGCTCAGGATGTTCTGTCATTCTGTGAGCGAGATTTGCTGATATTTCAGGTTTATTCATCCAGGGAGCTAAAAATCACTGCACTGGAGCTTTCCTGGGGAAATTCTCAGGGGATGGAGTGGAAGAGCCTGAGTAACATGGGAATCCCACTGCTGTGTCCTGATACCTTCCCATATCAAACATTTCTGGTTTAAAACTAGAGGGGGGTTGTCTCCCTTTTATAGGGTGAAAATGCAGCTTTAAAGACACCACAGCACTATGGGGATTTTTTTCCTCCTAAAAATGCCAGGTGGCTTTAGAATTTGAATTCCATTTCCAGAAGCTTCTCAGGAACGCTGGGACACCTCAGCAGTGCCTTGAGCCAGCCAGATTTCTCTCTTTAAAATGAGCACAGCAAATTAAAAGGGGTTTGGAGTAAAAGCCTCAGATCTGCTGCCCAGCCCAGGAGAAATGGAGATGCTTGAAAACAAGTCCCTTCCTCCCCTTGTGCCACCCTCACTGCCTGGGTCTTGCTTTCAGGTTTTGCTGTGGCTTTTTGGGTACCAGGAAATTCCTTGGAGGTCAGGAGAATGTCCTTTATTCCCTTCCCTGTGGTGTTTCCAATGAAAGAGGGTGGCAAACTACCAGCATAAAAAAATCCACTGAAGGTTAAAGCTTGGACTTTTCCAGCCTTCACGGTTCTAAATCCAGCTTGGACTTCTTTAGTCTTAGGGGATTTGCCCACAAAAAGCGTGTGGGAGTTAGGAACTGAATGCAGGTGTCCAGTCCAGGTTTGGATTGGACTGAATCTTTCCCTTTCCAGTGTTTGTCCTTAGGTCTGCAAGTTTCTGAGGGTTTTGATGTGAGAAAGGAAAGGAAAGAGGAAAGGGAAGGTTTGGGAAGGAAAGGGAAAGAGGGAAGGTTATTATTTGAGCACCATGAAGTGAGAGCAAGCAGGGCTCAAGGTCACAGAGGTGTGATGAGCCTTCCTGGGGTGGGCTGGTGGGTCTGGGAAAGCAGGAGCTGTGATGGGGCAGGAGCCCTGATGTCCCTGTTCTCCCCTGTCCCCCAGGCAAGTACTGGCACTCCCTGCAGCGCTTCGCCTCCACGGTGGGATACTCCCTGGTGGAGGCACAGAAGTGCGAGAACGAGGAGGCGGAGACGGTGACGGCCATGGCGTCGCTGTCGGTGGGCGTGAAGCCGGCGGAGAAGAGGTGAGCTGCCTCCCTTCCCATCCCTGCTGGGCTCATCCTCCCCTGCTGCACTCCCTGAACACCCCCTGGGTCCTGGGCTGGGTGTGTGCACCCCGTGCCTGGCCCTGCTGCTCCAGCCGGAGCCCGGCGTGGGTTTGGGCCGTGAGGGGGGGTTGATCTGGCTGCAGGAAATGGGAATGTTGCACAGGGACAGGACCCAAGGGAGTGACCTGGAGTTGTGTCAGGGGAGCTTTAGAAAAGGGTCCTTCCCCCAGAGGGTGGTTGGCACTGAACAGGCTCCCCAGGGCAGTTGGCACAGCCCCAAGGCTGCCAGAGCTCCAGGAGTGAGAACAGATTGTCCAAACACCCCTCCCAGTGGCGAGTTTTGATTCCAGGTGAGCCAGCTGATCCCAGCCCGGTGGGTAGGAACGTGATGGGACTGTCAGGTGTGAAACTTGGCCCCACTTTGCCCAGCCCTGCCGTGCTCACCCCTCTGCTCTCTCTTCCCTCCCTCTCCCCGTCCTGCCTGGCCGTGAAACCCCTCAGACCTGAGGACGAACCCATGGAAGAGGAACCTCCCCTGTAGCATTAACCTTCGAGCTGGAGTTCTCCTGTCTGTTCGTCTTCGTCTTGAAGCTCTGCCAAGAAGCTTTCTCTTGTTACTCCTGCGTCCTGCCACGGTTGATTCCAGAACACGGGAAGGACAGCCAGGTGTAAAGCAAAGCAACCGACAACAAAACCGGAATCTCTGCCTATCTTTGAGTCTCTATTTGCCGAAAAATGCTGGTGAAGAGCAGCAAAGGACCGACAACGTTGGGTGCTCTTCCTCTGGTCCTCACTGGGAGCGCAACGAGGAACGACGCCCGGGAAGTCTTTGGCAGAGTTGCCAAAAAAAAAATAAAAACACACACACAAAAAAATATAAAGGAATCAAAGCTTCAACAACAAACACACGCGAAAATAAAACAAACCTTAACGTAAAAACTGGTGCTTACAACTGAGCAATCTCCGCTTGAACCACTCGGCCCATCGTGTAGTTTCATTTCTTGGATATTTTGGAATGGCTCTTGCCTGCCTGGGAGTCAGCGACAGCTCCTGTCGGAACGGGAACTCTGGGAGATGGTGTATTTTTACCGGGGAGGGACAGGGAATGAGGGACTCATCTGACATCTAAAGGAAAGGGAAGGAGAAAGGGGGAAACGTTGAGCCCAGATGGAGTCGGCTTTATGGTCTCCAAAGCCATCTGAAGATGAGTTTGTGCCTTTTTTTTTAATTGATGGATTTGGTGCAGCTGGATTTTCTGAAGTTTGAGGAACAATGCCTTAAGTAAAAAAAAAAACAAAAACAAACAAAAAAAATTAATAATAATAAACCACAAAGAACACAGCAGTTCCTGAATATTTTTCCTCTGGTTGGGAAAGCCAAGAACTGCCATCAGGAAGGAAGACTTTTTGGCTTGTGCTGGCATGGTGGTGGGAAGCAGGCATCAGCTGAACGGAGCGTCTCCAAAAACTCTCGACAAGTTTGGATTTGTTTTGTTTTCTTTCATTGCTGTTTCAAAAAAAAAAAAAAAAAAAAAGAAAAAAAAACCCAAAAGGAAAAAAAAAGAAAAAAGGAAAAAAAAATAAGGTAGTTGCCAAAAAAGTGGCAAATACTGTTGGGTCTTTGAAATTCAACCATTTTTAACAACAAATTTTCCAATGTTTTCTCTCTCTTCTGGTAATTGAACTTATCGATTTGGTTGTCGAAGCATGTATTAGACACAACTGCAGGTTTTAAGACTGGAATGCTTTTTATTAAAAGCAACTAGCATGAGATATTGCTTAAATTGTTAGGTATAAATATATATATGTGTATAATGTATAGTCCAAATGTATTCCAAGCTTAGAAACCGGATTCCTATGAATTATTGAGAAAAGTATTTATGATGCATTTCTAGGAACAAAGAAAAAAAAAAAAGAAATATATGTAATAAATGCATACTCTAACAGTAGCCATTGGAAGCTCCCTAGGGAGAGATTTGGGAATTGGAACGTCCAAGGTGCTTTTGGAAAAGGATCCAGGTTGAAACATGAGGACTTTCAGGTGACAGGTTGGGAAGTTTTTCAGAAAGCCAACACTTGAGCCACTGGGCAACTACCCTAAACATTTGTATTTTAATTTAAGGTTTTTAGTTGTGATCCTTTTCTAACAAAGACAAGAAAAACAAAGAGTTTTTTATAGCGAAGACGATGAATTTGCTGTTAATTTTTATATGGATCTTTCCCGCCCCCCCCTCCGGAAGCCTTGTCTGTGTGACTCCGACCTTTCTCTCCTCGGCAGGTTTCCCTCCCGAGCGGCAATAGCATCGAAACCTCCCTCCCTCCCCGATTTTCCTTTGGGGTTTTGCCTTTTCCTTTCTGCTTTTCTCTCCTTTTCCTCGACTCTTTTGGACGGTGAGCAGCTTCCTGCAGGCGTGAGGGACCGTGGCACACGGACACAGTTGATTTTTTTCGGGATTGGGTGCAGTTTTTTCAAGGAAGAGGGGACGTGGTGAGCTCTTTTGTATCACTGTATATTTCCTCAGTTCTCTTCTAGTAGCTGTGTAGAGAAAATAAGGAATTTCCTTACCTTTGCCGTAGTAGCATCCAGTGGGCGATGTCTTTGTCCTCCAAGGATCTCGGGAGCCTTGGGAAAGCTCGTTGGACGCTCGTTCCTGGCGTTTTCTCTCCGCCGGACCGACGGATGCCCGCACACCTCCCACCTCTCTCTTTTTCTCTCCTCTTCTTCCTGTCACTGGTAGGGCTGGAGGTGTTTTTTCCCCCTGGGAATGCCGGGTGGGAGAGGCAGCCAGCCCTTCCATGAGGAGCTGAGCATCCTAGAGGAGCATCTTGGAGGTGCCGGCGCCGCCTCAGAGCAGTGTAGGACAGCACATCCGACCCCCCCACGCAGCTTCTCCTCCATCCCTGCCATTTTATGATCCCTGTTATTTTATCCTGTTCCCGTGACGACTGACGGGGCCGCTTCCAGTAACTTCCTCTTTTTCCAGTTCTCCAAGCAGCCGTTTCCATTCCGTTCGGGAGTCACGGGAGGCGTTGGAAGCGCAGCCCCACGCGTGAGCGAAGGCAAGAGGCTTTTGGTTTATTGCTCCATTTCTAGTGCAGTTGAAAACACTACAGTATTTGAGTTGTGCAAACACCCAAGTACGGTCGAAAATTGGGAATTTTAAGGACCATCCTCAGTGTTTGCTGAAGAGAATCCCGTGTGAAAACACGCTGGACCTGGGGATGGGGCGGGCCGGCATTTTTTCCGCCCACCTGTTTTGCTGCTGTGACCTAAAATCAATCCCGCTGCCGAGTTTGGTGACTGACTTGGAATTCTCCTTGGAATTGTCCTCCTTCTGTGGGCGGTGACCGTGTTCACACCCTCCTTTCTCTTGCCAGCTCTTCCCTGGAAGGTTTTTTTCCCGTTTCTCCTCTCGGTCGTGGCAGAGCTTTTTCCTTCCTTTTGGGCGTTCCCGGGAGCCACTGGCTGACTGTGCTGAGCCGGTTCCTTTAGGAAAACCGGAGGAGCTTGTCGGGATCCCACCTTCCTTCCTTCCCATCATTTCACTCAGCTTTTTGCCAGGGGTGGAAAGATTTTTTTCCCGAGACGTCAGAGCTCGTCTCCTGAACTCCGGGCGACGTGGATTTGTTTGAGCATCACCCACTCCCCTGGGGACGCTTTTCCCTGGGGACGCCCTTCCCTGGGGATGCTCTTCCCGGGGATGCTCTCCAGGGCTGGCACAGGCACGGAGAGAGGGGCAGGAGCCCTCGTTTTGAGGCTCCCCTGGGATTTTTCACCTTTTTGAGCCATTTGCTTCTTCATTTCCGATGGCTTTGCCAGAGGGCGGGAGCCCGGGATGCTCCCGCATCCCTCCGTGGTGCTGCCCGGGGCATCTTTGTACCTCCTTGGGAAGAGAAGGAGCATCTTTAAATCCTCTTTGCAGTGAAGTGAGGCCCAGTTTGCAGTACACAAATAACCATTGGGTGTTGGTTTGTTTTTTTTGGGGAGGGGGGTGTTGTTGTTTTGCTTTTTGTTTTTGGTTTCTTACTTTCGATACAAAACATTCCTTTTTTTATTAGTCACGGTCACGTCTTCATTCCATTCTTCCTTTTGTAAACTTTTTTGGGCCCACATTCTTTTGACGGGCATTGATATATATAAATATATATATAAATATATATGAATATATTTTTTTAAGTTTCCTACACCTTGAGGTTGCATGGTCTGTAAGGTTGGCATGTCTTTATATTGTATACAGATTTTGCACGCCACACTTGGCAGCTTTGAAAACAAAAACAAACAAAAAAAATGGTGGTTTGGGGTTGGGTTTTTGTGGGATTTTTTGGGTTTGGATTTGGTTTTTTTTTTTTCCTTGGGTTGTTTTTTGTTTCGTTTCATTTTGGTTTGAGATTTTCTTTTTTCCTCTCGTGGCATTTGCGGAGACTAAAGGTTGGGATGTTGTTGTCACACACACACAAAAAAAAAAAGAGGAAGGAGAGTGGGAATTTTTGTTTGTCTCACTGAACTGAATAAGAAATCGTGCTTTTCGTTGTTCAAAAGAGTAACTACAAAGAAAGCAAACAAAGGACTACTTCAACATTTCTCATTTTAAGAAGAAAAAACAAACAAACAACTAAGACGTTTCTCTAGCACTTGTGACTTACCAATAATAGAGTTTATTGTATTTATGTGAAACCAGTGTTTCTAGGGGGTGACTACGCCGAACACACCAAGTAAACTGCCTGTGTCATGGTTATTCTCGTTACTCTTCTCATTTCCTTTCCTTTGGGTTGGTGTTTTCGCTTTGATTTCTCGCCTGGGTGGGCAGGTCGGACTCCGAGCCGCGAGCTCCGGGGAGAGCCGGGCGGCTGAGGAGGGCTGGGAAGGGCCAGCTCTCCAGCACAGCCCAACTTTTGTAAGGAATTATAACTTTTCCGGGATGTATTAGTGCTCGGTTTCACTTTAAGCAGTCGTGTACTGTGCAGCACTGTGGTTTAAAAAACAAAACGAGACTTTGCAGCGAAAGGCAAAAACGATATTTCTTCATTGTCGCGAGGCCGGGCTCGTTCTCAGCTCGGCCTCGCTTTGTCTTTGATATTGATGAAAAAAAAAATAATAATTAAAAAAAACAAACCACACACACACAAAAAAAGAAAAAAAAAAGAAAAAGAGAGAAAAAAAAAGTATCCTATTGAAAGAAAATAAATTAACACTTTTCTGTGCTCCATAGTGGAGGCGCTATTTTCCAATTTATGAGGATGACAAACTTATATATATAATATATATATAAAAAAGTGGGGGCGGGGAGGGGGGGAAGGGGTTGAAACATTATTCACCCGAGAGCTTATTACAGATATGTAGTATCAAAAAAGTTGTAACTATATTATATTCTACTTTATACCTATACATGCTCAGTATGACGTCACCATTGGTAGCAGCTACCGGTTTACGCTGTAATTTAGACACAATTTCACTCTTTTATTGTATGGACCCTCCTTTCAGTGATTCTTTGTGCTCATCTTTTAACTTGGTGGAGTTGGACTATTTTTCTCGTTCTTTTCTTTTTCTTGTTTTGTTTTTTTGGGTTTGTTTTGGTTTTTTTGTTTTGGTTTTTTTGTTTGTTTTATTTTATTTTTCTCTTTTCTCTTTTTATTTTTCTGGTTTTGTTTTGGTTTGGTTTGGTTTTGGTTTGGTTTTTTTTTACTGGCCAATGGTGTCTTTCTCTGACAGTACCGACTTCAATTTCAACTTTATTAGGAGTCCAGTATTTTGTACCACATTATGACAACTTGTTATTCTTGTGGTGTAAATAAAAAGAAAAAAGTTAATTATAGTACCACCCTGGTTTCCCTTGCTGATCTTCTTTTCATCCAGGGTTTTTGGTGGGATGGGATGGGTCAGGGCTCAGACATGTCCTTTATCTCCTTTATAATGGGCCTTTTTCATCTATTTTCTGAATTCATTCCCCTGTGCCAAGGGGGGAAGGTTTGGGATCATTGAGTGGTTTGGGTCGGAAGGGACCTTGGAGATGATCTTGTTCCAGCCCCTCTGCCGTAGGCAGGGACACCGAATTCTTCAAACTCAGTGCAATTAAATTTTTTAAAGAGGGGGTTGTGCTGTGTTTAGAAGGGTGAGGATGCAGACATGGTGCCTTTGTGCTCTGTCAAGGCACAGTTGGCTGCTGGTCACCAGCTTCAGATGCCTGCAGGGACAAGAAACCTGCTTCCCATTAAATGAGGAAGGGAATGGGGAGCAATTGCTGAGCTTTAAAGGTGATTAAACCCCAGAGTCCTTGAGCAAAGCTTTCAGAATTTCACTCTTCAATTACATGAAGGGAAAAAAAATTAGACAAAAATCCCTCCTTCCCCACTGCGTGGAGCAATTCCCAAAATCCTCCCCAGTCCCCATGGATAATGGAGCCAAAGTGAGCTCAGCAACCGCCTTGCAGGCCGGACTCACTCCATGGTGAGAGACAGGAATTCCTGGAGCCTGTTTATCCAGGAGGGGGGTCCTGGTGCTGCTGGGGGTCCTTGCCCCCCAGGCCAAGCCCAGCCTTTGGTGGGATGGGCTGTTTCATCCACTGTAAACCAAGTGGCTCCTTGCTGTCATGGAAGGGGGGTCTCGGGGCCAGAGTGGGGTTTTTGGTGAAAATATCCCCGTGTGGACATTGGGATGTCCGTGGAGAAGCTCCTGGAGCTTCCCAGTTCCCCTGTGGCTCTGAGATGTGCGTTGGCAGCGCCTGCAAAAATGAATAATCCCACTAAAATTGAGTTTGCAGCAAGAACAGCTGGATTTCCCCCAGAGGCCGCCAACCAGGGAGGGAAAACCAGGAGAATCTGCAGAGGGAAAAGCTGGCACTGTGTGTGTGGCTCTGTCCTGCCCCAAATCCCTGAGATCCGTGGGGCTGTTGCACGTGGGGCTGTACCCCTGGGCCTGGGGGTGTCCCCTCTCCAGCACACATCCCTCTCCTCCAGGATGAGTCCTCTTCCCGTGCCCAGCTCTCTGGCTGGGCTGGGTCTGCTCCCAAATTTTCTGCTGCGCTCCAGGAGGAGGAAGGTTGGGACCAAAAGAGGTAAGATATGTCTTGGGAAAGGGAGGGGGGGAGAACTTTGTCTGGGAAAGAGAGGGAAGTTGAAGCAGACATGGTGGGAAGACTCCTCTGGGAGCATCCCAAGCCTGACACCAACCCTGCCAAGGCTGGGG